GAAGAAAATAGTTATCTTTCGACAGAAAAAAAGCGAAAATAAAATAATAAAACAACGATATAAATTCATGCAACTTTTTCACATGTATCAACGTTTTAATGTCTTTGTTAAAAAACTATTTTTAACTACAAAGCGAGTGTTTAAACGAAGTGCGTTCTGAATTTCCGTCACCAGGTGGCGAGTACCTTAAATGAGTAGGGAAGGGAAATTTAAATCTTTGATTTAAAGGAAAACATACACGATATACGCCATGTCGACGCTTATTCAGCTAAAACACGGTAAAGGAGTAATGTATTAAAACTAATAACTTTAATTATGTAGTTTATATCTCTATATAACGATATTATAAGTGTAAATATATTGTAAATCTACGTTTGTGTCTGTGCACAAGCTAATTGCTAGAACACTGCGATATATATTTATTAACAGTTCTTTTTTTAATATTTAGCCGGACACTGTTGTTCCAGTGATAACTTGTCCAGCCAAATACTCTGAAGATTTGAATGTATAGGCAGGAAATACTGGCACTGGTTCTTCTGCTCTGACACCAGTGCTGTTTTTATTAAAACTACATTTTTATTGTCATCAACAGCATCTGTTCAACCTACAGAATGTAGAAAAAAATTCAACAATGTGGCAGGACATGAAATCCTCTTCTTTACTTCACTGTTCCAATGCTCTGATTCCTGATGGAACACCAGGCCATGAAAATGTCTCTGGAAAAAAAAAAAGCCATTACATTTTTACAGCACTAAAAAAATATAAGTCAGGGACATTTTCGGAGAATATCAGATAGAGCTTTCAGTTACTTTTAGAAATATTAATAAACATATTTCGTTCCACTTTAAAGCATCATTTTCAGACCTATTTACTGATAGTTTTCTTGCCAAACTAAAGACAATTTTCTCTTAATCCTTGGTTCAACTTTACCAACCTGCAGTGATTGGCCACACATTCATTGCTGCAATACTCTTTGTCCCAGTCTTCACTCTCCACGGCTGGGTTGTTACACCCCGTCCTCACACACACGCTGGACCCCGTCACCTCCATGTCCTCCTGGTAAAATGGAACAGAACACCATGGAATAATCTTGTCATTTGCAAAATGCTGAGGAACAATAGGTTAGCAGGTGTGAGATGGAGAGTGAAACTAAATGTCAGAATAACAAAAGATTTAAAAAATAAACTATGAAATGCTAACAAACGTAAAACCAACAAGAACCTTCACCTCTTCTGTGTGCAGCACTTCTGTAACTTCATCTTCATCTGCACCTCCGGACACCTCCGCTGAATTCACCACCTGCACTGACACCACAGGTGCATTCTGGGATGTCGAGGCCACAGCAGAGGAGGCAGCTACTGTTTTGGGGACAATAATGGGGAGTTCATCTTTGCCCTGCACTGGAGTGGGAACTATTTTTATCTGAAGCGGCGGCGGAGGCGTAGCTGTGACAGACAGTGCCGCAGCACCACCCTCACGAGGCTTGGCCTGTAACGGTGGAGGTGCCGGTGCCATCTGCTGGAGCCGCGGCGGTGGAGGAGCGTTCTGCATCTGCTGCAGCGGAGGAGGCTGACGAGGCCCGCCCGACACCAGCAGCGTTGGCTGTAAGGTGCGGACTCCTCCAGGTAACACCGTCACCAACTGCCCCCCCGCCTGCAGGATGTGTTTTGGGATTATGATCTTGGTGATGGTCTGCGCTGGTGGAGCAGCTGCTGCTGCTGGGGCTTTGTTTGCACCTGTGTGGGACCGTAAGGTCCTCTCAGGGACGTCCAGGATGATGTTTGACATACAAATGTTGGTGATGGTGTTCTCCTCAGCAGGGGTGCTCGCTAGACGGATTGTTTGTTGACTGGCAGAGGGAGGGGCTGCAGGGTTGGAGTTAATGGCAGGTGGAGGTGGTGAAGGAGCAGTGTCCATCTCCTCAGTGGCAGGCTGAAGGATATAGACATTATATTTTAGTAATGGTGTATGGTGAAGATGTAAGAAAATACAATGAAATATCACCATACTTCATTTCACGATACCATATAGACTAGGCTTGGACAAACTAAGGCCTGGGGGCCAGATGCGGCCCGTTCAGCTTTGTATTAGCAGATTCTTGCTCATACACACCCCTGGTTATTTAAAACAGACACTTAACAAACAGAAACGTTGAATGAACTGCGAAGCTTTCATCACTATTAGCTATTGCTGTTACTATTAGACAACATACTGTTACCTGTGACAGCTGATTGGCTCTGTAAGCCGCCAGGGCTTTTAAATACTCTCTTTTGGCTACTTCAGTCTTTTTCTTGTACACCTGCAGGGGACAAATGTCCATTTGTTAAAAAGCTTTTGTTTTCATTGGCAGTGACAGAGTGTTTCCTCTAATAAATGTACTTCAGGGTACACATAAGAAGTGTTTTTACTTGTTTCTGGTCCTCGGCCAGACTGTCCCACATGGAGGCCACAATCTTTGACACCTCCCCAAAGGAAGCGTTAGGGTTCTGGCCTTTAATGGCTGCTTGGGTGTCTCTGAAGAACAGGGCATAAGCTGAGACCGGCTTCTGCGGTTCATTCGGATCCTTCTTCTTCCGTCCTTTCTTGGCTCCCACCATGCTATTGGCTGGAGACAGTGTGGCTGGTTTCCCCCCACTCTTCCTGATCATAGATGGGGAGACGGAGGACAGAGGAGCTGGGTGGGAGGACAGGTGGGACAGGACGGAGGAGGATATGGACATGGGGGAGTCTACCAGCACACTCCTCTGTATGAGACAAGAGTCAAAGGGAAAATGTGCATTGTGTGTGTTAGTAATAGGGAATAAAAACACAGGTTAATGAAAACAAATAAAGCAGCTTTAACATATAACCTTAAAATCATCCATGTCCTCATCCTGCAGAGAACCAGCCGGAGACGGAGTCGCTGACAGCGGCTGCTCCAGTGTATCTGAGTGATGCCCTATGGAGTCGCCTCCTAGACCCAGTGCCAGTTCTGACTGGTTGATGGTGCTCAGATGACTGCTCCCCAAAAGCCCAGGACCAATGTCACCGAGCTGAACGTCAATGGTCATTGGAGATGAACTGCTGAAGTGTGAACCACTGGAATTACCCATTTCCTGAAGAGGGATTATGGGAAATAAATAAATTACAAATTAATAGAAAAATAACAATGAGTGTAGCAGAGTGTAGGCAAATTAGAACAGTACTCACCAAAGCTGAAGAGCTCAGTAGGGCTCCACCTCCAGACTGGCCGAGTGACCCAAGGTTCAGCTGATCAGTGCCCTGAGACCCAGAGTTCACATAGGTGGCGGCAAAGGAGGGGTCATTGGCCTCCACCACCAAGTTGCTCACGAGACTCCGGGAGGTTGTAGAACCCTCAGTACCATCTGATCCATCTGTCAGCTCAAAAGGAGACACCGCATCACTGATGCCCAAAGCTGGGTCTGGGTCCAGGGAGATGGGAGGCATCTCAAACACTTCATCCCCAAGACTGGGGGTATGAAATGTCTGCTGCAGGTGGACAAGGGAAATGGTTGATGAATCACAAGAGCAATGTGTTTAATTCACAAGTAATAAACACAGCACTGGAAATACCAACAAGACAAAAAGTCAGTAATAAGTCGGTAACAAGTAAGTACATGTGCCGACACATAAAAGTTACCTTAACTGACCAACAAAAGCTTCAGTTGTTGCTCAAGTTTCACATCATTAAGAGTACAAAATCAAGCGGTTCAACAAAATTTTGGATAAAAGATGTGTATTTGTTAACACAAAAATACTTTTCGACCTTAATGTATTTTTCTTTTGATTTCTTAAGCGTCATTAAGGACAAAATTCTGACGGGCATTGTATCTCACCTCAGCAGACAGAAACGGGTGACCAGGTCCACTGATAGTCATATAGCTGTCGTTGCCTTCTGCGAACTAAAACAGATAAACAGTTTAACTATAATTCTACAAACCATTGACGTTAAATGTTCATTTGAAATTATATTTTACCTTGTTCTCCCCGGAGTATCCTCCATATGCTTGACTGTCCAAAAACTCCGTATCAACATTCTGTGCATCTGAAAGGTCTGAGTAAAAATTAATATCCATGATAGAATATTTCCTTAATAACTAATATACACGTTTTAATCTGTATGAAGTATAGATTTTTTTTAGGGGAAAAGCCCCATTTAGATTCAGTTGTGTTTGAATCGACTTGCGGGGCTAATCACTAACCAGCAAGCTAACCGCTGCCGGCTAGCAAGGTAATTTAGAGAATCAGAATGACCTTTTCCGAAGGGAAAGGAATACAGATTCGCAGCTTTAGTCTGGAATCAACCACATGCTGTTAGTGGTAGTACTGCAATAATTTTAATATAAAACAGTTGCGATTTATAGAGGGGGTCTAACAAAAACTCACTAACAACCGCCGCAGCGGCGCTAGCTAGCATCAGCGAATAGCATCTTTTCGAAGAACACACGAGCAACAGCTGCGTTCATGTACCGTCGGAAATGTTTCGATTTAACGTGTACGTTAAATCAAGCGACATAAGATATTTTAGGGCAAATAATTTATGTTGCCTGTGTTTTGTTTCCGAAACATGCACAAGTGTAAAGTGTAATAAGCAGATATTGAAAAAAATCTGGACATTTGCATTTTAGCTAGTAATCAGTTCAACCTGTCTCGTTGCATACTTCATTTTGTTAGGTGAATTATTAAAAAATATATAATAATAATAAAAATAAAAAGGTGAAATCACATGAAGATGAAATGTTTGGCGAAATACTTGTGTCGTACATCTGAATTAAGCCGTCCACTATTGGAAAAATCTAATGATTTATTATCTGAAATAATTCCAACGTCTAAATAACGGGCCACAAAGGCAGCACTGCTACTTGAATTTCAGACAGAAATAAATCATTTCCATGTCCATCGTTCAATAAGAGGAAGGTGGGATACATACTTATGTGACGAACAAGTCGCTCACTGCATTTGGCAACATAAGGAAATACTTTACTACTAAACATACTACTCCACGTAGCACCGTCAAAAGAGCCGGAATGTTACTACTAGTTACTAGACCATAAGTATGATTCTTTACTGACATCCAGTGGTGATGATTTATAAAGGCGAGTATGTAACAGTGACTTTTATAGTGGTGCAAAAACTGTTTGGTGTCAGAAATTAAAACAATACTGCAGTTGTTTTTATTAACAGTGACGAGGATGGAAAATCTAGAGTAACAGGGAATATAATAATCTAGAGTTCAGATGGTTTGACCTGTGTTGAAAAGAGACCTGCTACTTTGTTGAACAAATAAACTGTTGGAGTTTACACTGACTATGTAACATGGCTAATAATAAATAGCAAAATATAAATATTTAGTGTGAATAAACGTATGTAATTGAGACATCTTGTGACACTACTTGGAGACTTCAGCTCTGATGACTTGGTGCTCAATTCTTAACCCTAGGAATTGGACCTGTCCTGTCTTCTTTGACCATCAGACTCTTGTCTTGAAATCCTGGAGGACTTGACTGTTGACTAGACAACAGCACAAGAATATAAGCTGCAACGCCCTGGATCTCGTATTCATTCTGATAACACCATTATTCAGAACAAACAGAAGTGAATCACACTCATGTGGAGGGTCACCTGTTGTATTTAGGACACCACACATGGTACAGATCTGACCTTGTGTACAAACAGGAAACCTCAGTTGCTTGTGTCTGGGTGAAATTCATAAAAATGCACAGAAAACTGTTTTTTTTTCACTTGAGATTGCTGTTATTCATATCACAGATACAGTCAGTTCATAAAACAAGAATAATAACTCAATGTCGTCATGTCGGCACCATTGTACACAATTGACGAGCTCTACATTGTACAGAACACCCATCCATCCTAGCACTGATTCAGTAACTAATGTGCCCCCCCGCCCGTCCCTCCCTGGTATGTCCAACCCCACCTTCCACAGAGTGAAAACAATAACAGTACATCCACACACTGGATCCCCCCCGTTTTTTTTTTTCTTTTTGAAGTTCATGTACAAGTCCGGACACGGGGGACATGACCAGACCGGGCTGGAGGGGTGGAGTAGGGTGGTGGTCTGAATCCAGGCTCTGCTCTGCACTCATGTCCAGTTTCATGTGGCGCTGGAGGACCAGCGTTGAGGTTCTTAAGAAAAGGTTTCTTCTGTACAGCAGGGCCCCCTTTTGGTCACGGCTGGGAATGTGATGGAAATTCATAGGATTTGGAGGATGAGGAGTGAGAAAGCACAGCTTTTTTTCTGCCATTTTGTCAGAGGTTGTTGATGAGGGATGAGTGGAAGGATGAGAGACATTTCTCAGTGATTAAAAAAAAAAAAAAAAACCTAAACATAACGGATGGGTGCAAACCTGCTCAATTCATTGAAAAAACATTACTATGATATAAAATAAATGAGTAAAAGTAGCAAACAAACAAAAAACATACACATGTGGTAAAAATAATGAGGAATAGCATGATTCAACACAGAGACAGAGTCAGACATGTTGGGGGAGTGAGCTCTTCAGTCAATCCTCTGAGCTCGACGAAGAGTCAGAGTCCTTCTGTGTCATGATGACATCATCTAGTAACGCCTCCTGATCCGAACTGTCATAGTCGGCATGGGACATGCCGTCACCGCCCATAATTTTCACATCAAAGTCTGCACTGGTGAGAAAGTGATGGGAGGCCTCCAGCTCCTCCTCGTCCATCATGTAGGCTCCGTCCGATACCAGTGTCTCCTCCTCAACACCGTCCAGGCTGGGCTCTTCATGAACAGGCTCTGGAGTGAGGTGATGGTGGTGACGGTGGTGGTGGTGGTGGTGATGGTGATGATGGTGATGACGCCTCTTGCTTTTCTTAGGGATCTGTGAGTGTTCAGTCAGCAGTCGGTGGAAGTAGGTCTCAGGCAGGAAACCCTGAAAAACAAAAATCATCAACTCTGACACGGTGGAAACAATGAGCGCAGTGGTATCCTGTGATTATGTACCGAGTTCCGAACTGTCTCGGACCACTCTGGTGCTACAGCGTTGTCAGGGTTCTCCTCCAGATATTCTCTCAGGTCTTGCAGCATAGGAAGGAACGCTGTTCCAACCTTCAGACAGAGGAAACAGTTTTGTTAGCAGGAGATTAAAACTCTGCTAACTCCCTGGTCAGTGTGTTGTGTTCTATTGGATCTGTTTCTAGCTCCATCTCACCTTCTTTCCTGTCCTCATATTTATGAGCTTGACCTTCTCACTGCCGGTTAGGGCTTTTGGCCTCCTCTTCCTCTTCCTTTTGCTTCTGTTCACAAGAAGCTGAGGAGAAAAAAAATAAAGAAAAAGAACAAACACTGTGATGCAGCACAAACACAGTTCTATTCTGTTTCCAAACAAACCAAAACACAGAGGATCAGAGAGAAAACATGATTATTAACCAATGACTTTTTCTACCCCCCCCCCCTTTACCTCTAGCATGTCTCCCTCCACCTCATATTCTGGGTTCTCCTTCAGCCATGTGGGAGGGTCTCTCCGTCGAGGCGTGCCATCCAGAGAATCCAGGAGACCCTCTGGATCTGATAACTGAGGCACAGAGAGAAGTCACAGAGTGATGAAAACCAAACTTGTCGTTTTTTGTCCACACTTCCTTAATCTAATATAATAATATAATCTTATGTTATAATCTTATGTTAATCTGGCAGCATCACCTCTTGATCTTTGCGTCTCTTGCGTATGCTGCTCTCTCCTGCTGATCCATTAGGCATCAGTGACTGTTTGGAGAAGGTCAGCTTTAGCCCCTCCTCCTGGAAGGATCAGATACAGACTGTGTTTACACTCTAACTTGGTCCTATTCTTAATTCAATCAATGAAACAATTTGTCGACTCAAATGCTGTGTGTATTATTTTAAAAATGTCTTTTTTTTTAAGCCTCAGTCTGAAGGCTCCGACGCTGGTGAACCTTTTCATTTCACAGTGACACCATGACACTGCAGGTCCTCACTTCACCACTAAGTTCTCACCTTCAGCAGTTTGACAGTGAACTCTCCGTCTTCTCCTTCAGCCCCCAGACCTACGGTCATGCTGCTGGGTTTACGGATCAGCCTCGTGCAGGACATATCGTCTCCCACCAGCTCAGAGCTGGGGTTGAGCTGAGCCTCGGACACGTACCGCCGTCCTGAGGGCCACTGACCCGTCAGCACCAACGTACACAGGTTGTCCAGTCTGTTGATCAACACACGGTCCTAAGGACAAAAGGGCAGATGTTAAGGACGAGTCCTCCTCTAGGAAACGATTTAATTATCAGTAATACTTTTTAGACAAACGTCGTGAAAATGAGCAAATCCTCACCTTTGGCCATTCAAGTCTGAGAGGATCAGGAGGTGGAATACCGTCCTGAGACGGAGTGATGGATAGTAAACTGTTGTCTTCATCTGCGTCACACACCTTTCCTGTTCAGGTGAGAAAAACAAATGCCACATTATTAGATTGGTTGTAGATTGTGTTGTTATCAGTTATTATTATTATTGGTGTTAGTGACATCACTGCTGTGTTTTTTAAGCTTACTCTTTTCACCCTCCTCGTCACTGTCCCCACTGTCGTCGCTGCTCCCCGACTGGTCCGACGATGACGAGCCCGAGTCAGAGTCAGAATCTGAATCGGATCCTTCCTCTCCACCTTTCCTCCCCCCTCTTCCTTTGCTCTTTTTAAAGCTCCATGCCTGTCCGTGTATTTTCCCATCGTGATGGGTTAAAGGCGTGCTCTGAAGGTCGGCACAGAGTTCAGTGCTGAGCAAATGAGCGTCATCGTCGGCTCCTTCCTCCTTCACCTCGCACATTTCTTCCTCCGTCTTGGGCTGCATGAGGGGTATGATGGGCAGCGGCTGGGGTGGAGGCGGCGGCGGGGCCTGCTGGTTCTGGATAAACTCTTCCCGAGCTTGGTTGAAGGTGAACTGCGGGTCTGCGAAGATGGACTGCTCGGTGCGGCTGACGCCGTGCAGGTTTGCCGCCAACATCAGCTGATGATCGTGGTCTGGCAAAATCCACCAGCTGGGCAACTCCGAGCTGGGCGGGGCCAGGGCCAGGCGCTCCTCCAGGGCAGGGTGAGGCAGGACCCGCTCACGGAGGCGACGCAGGAGGCTGATACGGTAGAGTGTACGGGAGGCGCGCTCCTCAGTGATGGGGCCCACTGTCTGTGGGGGCTCCAAGGAATCTGAGTCAGAGAAGAATCATAACATGAGACAACAATAGTTTCATGATACTGTATTCACATTCTATAGCACTGTATCGATGTAATCTTTATTATTACCAGTCAAATATTCATGGTGTTTTTCTTTTATTTCTTCTCTAGTGAGTAAAATTAAATTGTTAAAAAAAATAAAAATCGCAGTTTATCGCACTATATTGTACTGTTCTCCCTGTATTGTGATGTGTATCGTATTGTGCCAGATTCTTGCCAATAACCACACTAGAAAATAATGAACACAACTGAAGAATTTATGCTCAAAGTCAAGAAGGAACATGAATTTTGTAGTAACAATTAAATAAACAGTTTTCACCTTCTCGGCCTGGGGGGAGGTGACACACCCTCCGGCACATCGAGACAAAAGCACGGAAGTATCGACTGAGGCTCTCGTCAGTTTTTTTATCCAGACGAGCAAAGGTGCGGAACCGTGTCCAGTTGTACTCATCTGTGACTTCAGGAAGACTTGGTTCCTTTTTCATCTTCTCCACGCCGAAGGTTGACACCACGCGATAGAAGTCGCACTCTTCCCTTCGTGTCCATCTACACGGAAAACATCAGCGTTCAGAGAGAGAGAGCTGTTTGCTCAGTTTCACATCATCTGCATGTGACTTAAAATCAAATGAACATAAGAACCAACGTCACCTCTGCTGACGCTCCTGCCGTGCGATCTCCTTCAGTTTACTGGCCTGTTCACACCTCCTCCGTCGGCGGTCACCCTTGGCCTCAGCCTCAATTTTCAGCTGCTCCTGTCTGTAGCTGCGTTGGTAAGCCGTGATCAGACGACGTAGCCGTGCTGTGAGGGACGAGCTGGAGGGCCAGCTGCCTGCACTGCTCTGACTCAAAAAGCTCTCTGTGACCAGTGGAGCGGCCTTGTCCTCCACAGAAACCTCCTCGTCCATGTTCATGGAGTCAGGCTGCACAAGAGACAGGCGATCAGAAGAAAAGGAAGACTGCTTTTAACATCTGCACGTCCAACATTAACGCTCTGAATATGACTACAGTGCGTGACATCAAACCTCCTCAAAAAGATCTTTGTGCCTCGAGGCCGGTTTGAACTCTGGATCCTCTGAGTATTTATCGTAGTCGGCACTGGACGACACAAAAACACAGTTTAGTGATCAAAGATCAACAGACAGACAAATCACAGAATCACATTTTTTAAAATGCACTTCACTTACTCCTCTCCCAGCTCTGTGTCACCAGTGTGCTGCTCAGCATCAATGGCCTTGTCGTCAGGGCGACCAACTCTCTCCACAAAGCAAAGGCAGGGATCGGCACGCATGGTGGTGTACATTTCATAACCTGAGAAAATGGCACAAAATCATGTAAACCTAAAAAAAAAAACCCAAACACACATACAAATAAATACCCGTACAGAGAGAGAACCTACCGTGTTTGAAAACACCGGCGAGCAGCGAGCGGTCGGCCTCAGTATCCCACCATCCTGCTGGAACCTCCTGCTGCTCCATCTCGGGCATCCAGATGTCAACGTCCCTGTGAAAGAGGTCAATGTTTAACCGACTGTCGGCCTCAACAGGAGGAATTGAGTGTGAGTGTGTGTTCAGTGGGCTGTCGGACACACCTGATGTCGGCTCCCTTCAGGACGGCGTCGGCGTGTTCTCCAATAACTTCCTGCTTCAGGTAGTACAGCATACGCACTCTGAGCAACACCCTGCAGCGGAAGGACAAACGTTTATCACTTTGACAATTTAGTGGACAAACTCAAACCTGTAGCTACGGTGCTAATTTAGCTCCACTGACTTGTTGCACTGGTGTTTGAGGTGTTTGCGGTAGCTCTCGTCCAGCAGTAGGGTGTCAGGGTTATACTTCCTGATCCACTCCACTTTCTGAACGTCAAAGGTGCTCTGAGCTTTTACCCGTTTGCCCTTCCTGCCTCTCGGGACAGGAATAGACAGACCTTGAAGGTGGGAAGACAAGGAAAAATAATTTAGAGTCACAAAAGTTGCAACATTTTATTGCAGCCTGCAAGTAAAAAGAAAATTCCTAATGACTTGAAAGAATATAACTGTGGCTTCGACTATCAGATTCGTACCAGAGTGGTTGAGCAGTGTGGTGGGCTCACACCCGTTCTCTGGAGGAGTGATGAGCTCCCAGATGAAGCTCTTGATGTTTTCGTCGCCACGGTAGTGAAGCAGACAAAAGACCAGAATTACACGACAGATCGTCTCCACGTCACGTTCGCTCAGACGCCGTTTGCACCTGGCGTGAGAAAGGATGTCCCTCCAGCGACCCCAGCTGGACAACAACGACACAAGCACTGCATTGAAATTACATTTCATGGGGGGCAGTCAGTGAATGAAAAAATGTCTTTGTTTCCATACCCGTAGACCAGCAGGTGTTTCTCAACACGGAAACAGTCAGTGCGTCCATATCCTCCTCCACTGTGGCGTTCGGCTCGTCTGGAGGCACGGGACTGTCTGGAATTCGCAGGTGGATACTCCTCGTCGCTGTCCAAATCAGACAGATCTCCACCTTCGCCCCGTAAACTGGAAAACTGACGAGTCTGCTTTCGTATTCTGGGGGTGTCGATCACGAGGGTGTTCTGGGGGAGGAAAAAAAAGAAGTAATTTTTAGTTCATAAATTATTTCCATAAACCAGTATTTCATTTTCAGAGAAATATGCAGCTGCGGAAAATCTTTACCTTTCTGTTGATAGAGTCCATGTCGATGTCGGCCTTCTTCGCCCACTTCTGCCAGAACTCGGGGTCGTCCAGGGCGATGTCATTGCGGTTCTCTGAAGCTACAAAGCTAGCCTTGGAGAAGGTGGAGCCTTTGCCTTCGCTCTCAATGGTGATAGTGGTGGCTCTCCGCTGAAGGATCTGGTCAATGTCCTCCTCGCAGAAGCGACTGCCTTCATCATTCTCATCCATAATGGCAGCGTACGCTCCTTTCCTCAGGAGGTCCTCAATCTCCTTCTTGGAGAACTGCTGGATCTGGAGACATTTACAGGAGACAAAAATGAGATGTCAGATGTAGAATATGAACTAGAATATGTCAGAGATTTAAAAACAGGAGGTTTGAGCAGATAAGTTGACATCTCACCCCGTTGACACTGCTGTCCTTGTTGCCACTCATCGTCTGTAGGACGGCACGGTCCAGTCCAAGCTTCAGACTTGCTTTATCCAACATCTCTCTCTCGTACGAGTTTCTGGTTATCAGACGGTAGACCTTCACGGCCTTGGACTGACCAATACGATGACACCTGGCTTGAGCCTGGAGCGTCACAAAGATTGGTCAGAAAAAGAAAAAAAAGTAAAATATATATATATATTTCTTCTTAACATCACAGCACAATCTAGTACCTGCAGGTCATTTTGGGGGTTCCAGTCAGAGTCAAATATAACACAGGTGTCGGCAGCAGTGAGGTTAATACCCAGGCCACCGGCCCGGGTGCACAGCAGAAAGACAAAGCGGTCTGAGTCAGGTTTGCTGAAGCGATCAATGGCAGCCTGACGCAAGTTTCCACGCACTCTGCCATCTATTCGCTCATAAAGGTATCTGTAAAATGGAGAGGAGACCAGCATGCAATTTATTTTTAGTGTACAGTTGATGTGGACACGCCTGGAAACATTCACAGGGTTAAAAAAAAGCCAGCCTGGACTTTTTGTTACCTTTTGTTGATGAGGTAGTCCTCCAGAATGTCTAAGCAGCGCACCATCTGTGAGAAGATCAGCACTTTGTGGCCACCGGCCTTCAGGCGAGGCAGCAGCTTGTCCAGTAGCACTAGCTTGCCAGCTGAGCGAATGAGTGCCTGCAAATGGAAGTCGGAGGCCATTGGGTCATAGACCTGCCGCAGCTCGGCAACGATCTTCTCCTCGGCGCCTGAATTACAAAAAAAAAATTTGATGTAATAAACATAATAAAACACAACATATTTCGCAGCAAAAAAGACTATAAAGCCTTTAGACTATAAAAATGTTTGTGTCACTGCTCTGGTTCAGTACCTGTGATGAGGTAGGGGTGGTTGCAGCACTTTCGCAGCTCCATCATAGTGTTGAGAAGATTAGGGACGTTGCTGTTACTGTTTGCTCCCAAACTGAGGAAACTGAAGTTACGCTCCAGGATAGCTCTGTAGTACTTCTTCTGGACATCCGTCAGCTCAACCTGCATTTATTGCATCCCATAATAGTTTGTCATCAGTTACTGTTTTTTAATGAAACCAAAAGAAAAAAGCAAACAGTGAGGTATTACAGAAAACTAACCTCAATGATGGTTTCCTGTTTAGGAGCCAAGTTCTTCTCCACATCCTCCTTCAGTCTTCTCAACATCATAGGTTTCAAGATGGCCTGTAGTTTTTGAACCTGGTTGAAAACAAAAAGAGCAGGTGTTCAACAAAATCAAAGTACTGATAAAGCTGTTCTAAGTCAAAAGGTTTTATCCAGAGCAGATTTCATACCTGCTCCTCTGTTTTGAGGTCACCAAAGTCTCTGAGGAACTCCGTCTCTGACGGGAACTGAGCTGGCTCCAGGAAATGAAGCAGACTGAAAAGTTCCTCCACGGTGTTCTGGAGTGGAGTGCCGGTCAACAACACTTTGTGCTCCTGTGATAAACAGACGCAAATGGGTTTAAGTGCAACAGATGCAGAATGTGGAAGGAGGGGAGGAAAAGAAAAATCAACATTGCTGTTCTCGCAGAGGTCACAGAGGTCAACTTACCAGGTCCAACATCTTCAAGCTGTCCAACAACTTGCAGTTGCGATTTTTAAGGCGGTGAGCCTCGTCAATGATGACGCAGCGCCAGGAGATTTCCCTCAGCTCGGGGCAGTCGGACAGCACCATCTCAAAGGTTGTGATCAGGGCGTCAAACTTGTAGGCACCGGGGATCAAATGGTCCTGCAGACAAAGATCAAAGTAAATTAGAAACGCTGCAAGTTGGCGACATCTAAAAGACGTTCACACAGCACCAGTGACGCCACCTTGTCATCCTTGCAGTACATCTCGTACTGCTGTATCATCTGTCGGCTGGCCAGGCTGCCATGGTAGACGATGGCGTTCATGTTGGTCCAAGTGGAGAACTCTCTCTCCCAGTTGGTGATGGTGGAGAGAGGGGCAATAACCAGGAAGGGGCCTTGGATTCCAGCACCGTGAATCTCTGATAGCAGTGCGATGGACTGGATGGTCTTGCCCAGACCCATCTCATCTGCCAGGATGCAGTTCTGCCTGAGAGACAAGAACCAGGGAACGTTCAGAGTAAAGCAAAGAAAACAAAAAAACAACTAAATGAAGACCTATAGTTTCTACTGCATTATGCAAAACTTATCGGTTCACAGCTGAGCGTGTGAGACAAATACCTGTTGTACCAGTTGAAGAGCAGCCAGTTGACTCCTTCCAGCTGATATTCTCTCAGTATGTTCCCATTTTTGTATTCTCTGGTTTCTTCCAGCTTCTTCCATGAAGCTGCTGGAGGCCGAGGCTGATCAGAGGCAGCGAAAAAAAAAAAACACAAGTAAAATTAAACAATATTGGAGAGTACTGTGACCTAAACCTTAGAAAAACCTTAGGCTTCAGATTCTACAATTTTTTCGTCTTTTTTTTTTTTTTTTTTTTTAAACTCACCGCTCTCTTCACACGTGGTTGTCGGTTTTGGATTTTACTGAATTCTTCAACTTTGCCCTCGTCCACGTCCTCCTTCAGCTCCCATGTGGCATCTTCATAGGGCAGTGAGCACCACTTCACCAAATAGTAAATAACAGGCTGGAGGGTGGAATGTTAAAATAAAAACAGTGAATAAACCACAAAACAAGTAATATTTGGGATTTTTGTCCAGTAATTTCTTACTTCGCCGTTGTCCTTGTCCACACTATGGGACTCGTCTAAGATCCTGTCCACTTCCACATAGTCAGGATTGAAAGGCTCCTCCTCCTGGGAAGAACACAGGTTTTAAGAGCTGGTAACAACATGGAACAAGTTTGTAAATGAAAAGTTCGAACATGTGTGTGTGTCCACCTTACCTCCTGGAAAATGTGTCTCATCTGTGCATGCTTCGTCTTGAACCTTTTAATCTTCTGGTGGATCCTCTTGTCTTTCTCCAGCTGATCCAAACTGGCCCACTCACAGTGCAAGTAGGAACTGAAATGAACAACAAAAACCAATTGCAATCAAAAAACCAAAAGTCACTGCAGTGCTCCAAAACTATCAAGTATGAATTAAACCTACTAGTTCTTGTATTTCACAAAGAACTCTTCAACATTAGTGTACTGGCCTTGAGACACCTGTCAGTAAGAGAGGAAACAGTTTTACAATACCATGTAATTAATTCATTCAAAATTTGACCTTCATAAAAAAAAAAAATAAAAAAAAAGATTTGAAAAACATGATCATACTTCTTTTTTGGTTAATCTCATGGACAAAACTTTGTCCACAATGGCTGCATCTTCTTCACTAGGATTTTCCTGGAAGACAAATATTTAACACATGGATGAGATGCAAATAGACACACGGCTCACAAATCCAACCTGTTCTTTCTCACAGACATTTTAATATACAGGGTTTGTTTTTGTTTCAACAAGGAAATATGGTAATGAAGTTCCCCAACTTACAACAAAGAACTGCATGCTGGGTAGTCCATCGGCATCCAGCTCCATTTCCTGTTTGAGCTGTGTGGCGCTGTTACAACTAATGGAGGCGACGGCTGCCGCTGTCGTGGTCACGTCCACGTCCTCCTGCTCGTCCTCGTCATCTGTGATCTTGATGTCCAGGTCTTCTGTGTACTTCTTCCTCTTTACCACACGATTGGAGCGCCGCTTCTGATTGGACAAAAGAGGTGTTGCCAAAGGTTGTCACTTGGAGGACAATGTCAACAAGGCACTGAATGACGTCATATATTTATCCTGCACTGTAACAGAAAACTGCAGGTTTTCTCAACAAACCACGGACCTGCTGTGGCCCGGACTTGAACCATCAACCTTCAAAATAAAAGCCAGATCATTCCACTACTAGGCCATGGGCTGCCCAAACAGACGACTGTCGTTATTAACTCTACAATCAGGTCATAGTCACACAAAATAATCCAGTTCAGAATGACCTTTGATCTCAGGTTGTACTAATGAACCATAATTACAGACTCCGTACCATAATCATGTCATCTTCCAGTGCAGTAGGTGAGGCTGGACTCAACTCTCCGTCAGAATGGTCAGAAGAACCATTTCTCTTCCTCTTCTTTGCACCCACCAGAGTGATAGTGCTGCAAACAGACAAGAACAATGTAACTTTTTAAAACTTGTAGAGAAAAAAAAGTTACATTTAAATCACTCCTTGAATCTCACTCAACACTTACTTTGTCTTGGTTTTGCTTTTGCTCTTGCTGGCACAGCCCGGTGTCACGATGCCTGTGGCCACTCCGGGTGTTCCTCCTGGTGACTTCACTTTGCCCTTCTTGTCACCTCCACACACTACTTTGGCCATGGCTCCTCCGGACACTGGAGTTTTTTTCTTGCTTCCACCTCCGCTGCTCTTTTTCTTGGATGCAGACACCAGCGTTATGGTGCCTCCCATCTCAGGAGACGTCTGACTGGATGGAAGCTCGTCCTGGTTCAGGACTCGGGGAAGGTTCTTCTCGCCGCGCGCCTTGGCCCGGGCTATCGCCTCGGCCACAATCCGGTTGGCCTTCTCCTGTTTACACAGGATCTCCACTCGTCTTACGGAGGCCGGTTCACCAGGGGCCTTGGCAATGCGGATGGTCTGTGTTGGGCAGGTGCTGGTGGTTGTGGTAGAGGGGCCTGCGGGGGATGAGTTGATGACCTTCACCACGGAGACTGTGCCACCAGCTGAAGATGCTGAACTTGTCTGATGTAAGAGACAGAAAATGTTTTTAAAAACATTTTTGTTTCACTGCATCTATTTGACAGAGGAGAAAAAAAAATTCAATGACTCTGGAGGTTTACCTGTGGCTGCAGGAGCATCTTGAGGGGCACTGCAACTCTTTGTCCTGGCTGACCCTGAGAGATCTGGAGCACCTGTGGACTTCCAGCATTTCCAGCTCCTGAAACCAGCTGGTACTGGAGAGAAAAAAGAGAAAAGAGTTACCTTCCTGTCTTCTGTGGAAATAAGCACAAAGAAAACATCTATGTAAAACAGGAATGCGGCCTCCTTTGGTGTTAGATCAGACTTTACATTTGTAAAATCTATTCCATTTTCTTTTTTGATAAAAGACATATTCTTCCAAAACGTTCCATTCCGAGAACTTTTATCTCATTTTTTAAGGGCTGAACACATTATGAGCCACTTTCTGCTGTGATCTTCAGAGAATCAGTTGGTTAAATATTACAGTATTATATGCAATATAATAGTATAATATTATATGTATGTTATAGTTTTTTGTATCACTTGTAGCTGAAAAACCAAGCAGGACCAAATAAAAAAAAAAATTAGAAAAAAATCAGGATTACTATGACTAAAAAATAAAAACTACTACAGAATCAACTTAGTGGTCAACTTACAAATTGCAATCACATAGAAAAAAGCAAACAAACATTAACACATTAACCTAATACAAATCAGAAGAACAGAGATGTGAATCAAAGCTAAGTTCTTCAAAGATTGTGTTACTGTAGCATTTTGTCAGACTGCAATGAATCACAGAAGGTCAACAAAAAAAAAAAGAAGAAAATTGGAGCATAAGATACTTTGTCACAAAAACAAAAGAGTCACAAAAAAAATCTAAATTCTTACTTTAACCCCTCCTTGCTGGTTTGGCTGCTGCTGCACTTGTAGTTGAATTGTGAGAACTTTGGGTTGCCCTCCAGCCTGACCGGCTCTGGCCTGGGCCAGGGCAGCAATCTGGCTTCCCTGCAACACCAGTTTACCTCCGGGGAGTTGACCCAACACCAGTCTGGTTGGTGTCTGCGGCTGCCCTCCTTGGGCTGTTTGGACCTGTGTGACTGATTGCTGTGTTGTGATGGTCTGACCCACAGTTGCAACAGAACCTGTCTGAGAAGGCTGCTGGAGCACCAGCGTGATTCGTTTTGGTTCACCACCCTGGAGGTAAGCATATAGACAGTTAATGTTAAGGTCAAGGACAACTGAACTACAGTCATGGGAGGTGCTACACTGTGTTGTATGGAAGAAGAGGAGGAGAAGGAGGTGCTTACTTGTGTGTGGGCCTGCATGGCTGGCTGTAGCTGCACCTGACTCTGGGTCTGGACCTGGATCTGAGCTGTCTGGCCTTGAGGCTGAACATGGATTTGTGCAGCTTGGCCCTGTACCTGGATCTGGGCCTGTGGCTGAACTTGGACTTGAGTCTGGCCTTGAGCCACCTGCGCTTGAGTTGGGATCTGCACCTGAACCTGCTGGCCCTGTGTCTGCTGCGGCATGGAAGTGAGCAGTAACTGTTTCACTGGTCCGTTCGGAGACTGCAGCAACCTCTGCACCCCCGTACCCACTTTGACTTGAGCTTGTCCAGGACTTGCCTGACTCAATACTGTCCCACCCTGCAGTATGGACATGCCGGGTTTGAGAGGAGTGCCTGACAAGACACGGATCACCTTTCCAGTTGTCTGGCTCGTGGCCCCAGATACAGTCTGGAGAACTTGGGCCTGACCCTGCGGTCCCTTGAGAATAACAATTTTACCACCAGCCTGCTGCGCAATGGCAGCTAACTGCTGAGGAGTGAGCTGGTGGGTTATCTGTGCAAGCTGTGATGTTGTGGCAGTTGTTGTAGCTGGGGAGGAGGAAACGGCCAGAGGGGAGCTCAACAGGACGGTGCTACAGGACACCCCGCTGGTGTTGCTGGCAATAGAAATGTTGTTCTGGGCCTGAATTTGAGGTAAAGCATCAGAAGGCGCAAGAGTTGGAGCCACAGTGGAAGCTTCAGCCATGGAAACAGTCTGAGCCGTTGCCATGGGTATCGACTGTTGTACATGGACTTGAACAGGAGCAGGGTCGGGGATAGAAGGGGCTGCTACAGGAACACTGAGGGCAGAATTATCTGCGAGTTCAACGGTGGGTTCCGGCTCGGTCGGTGGGTCCACCTGACCCAATGCCAACTTCAGAGCCTCCTCCACGGGGTCTGTAGAGCCCTGTGAGAAGGAGTCGTCCGGTAGGGCATCCAGGTTAAACAGAGGTGTGTCCTCAAAGAGGTCCATGATGGGGTCTGCCATCTTGCCCACTCCACACAGGGAGACGGGCACAATGTGTAAAAAACTCCGAGATGGAAGCTAATCGTAACCCACAACTTTTTCTTGACGTTAAATACTCAACTGAAAAACAAGACAACACTGATGTCAAAACAATGAATGCATATGTGGTAGAGGATGATGTCATTAATGATGAATCAGCGCTGCTTCTGATTTTGTGGACAGAATGATGTGACCGATAGCTGCAAAATAATTATTTATTACAGCCTTAGTCACTACGCTGAAAATGTATGACATGCTTACACAATGAACAAAAGTATAGGATTTTAGGAAAGATTATCTTTCCAAAATCAACATAAATCTTTATATAAAATGTTTTTCCATAAATTCTGAAAAACTTCCTAGACAAAAGATGCATCTGGCGATACTACCTATAATATCATGCAATAAACTAGTAATACTTTCAATCTGTTATTATGTTAGTTATTATTAAGCGTATCTTTCAGATATACTTATTCTATTAAAGGTTTTTTTCCCTGTCGATAGTGAAAGCAGGACCACGTATTTTAAACTTTGAGCTGTAGAAGATATGATGCTGCTTTAAGTATTTATCAAAAAAGTATTAGGAAAAGCTAACGTTTCCAACGTTAACGTGGATAACAATAAGTTAAAATAAAGTTAGGCAAATACATAAGTAATTCTGAATTGTTCTGGTGTCAGGAAGACGTTCAGCTAACACAGAGTTTGTGTCGAAGTGTGAAGAGGACACAGTGATGCTGAGAGCAGAGATGCTTTTCCTCTCAGTCTTTCTTACAAACCCCAATGTTAGCATTAGCTTGTACCGCGACCAAGATGTATCTTATACAAAAGCGCCCGTTGCACAGAGACCATAACCGTGATTATAAATTATATAAATGGTGTGTTTGATGTCTTTAGTTCGCTTCACCGACATTTACTATCGACCATTCAGTCTACCGGACTCCTTATCAACAAACCGGACCAAACCAAAGCAACGTGCCACAATAACCATTGCCCGTCAACGTTCAGACAAGGCTTTAGGCCGCAATACTGTTTCGTTGAGCCTGCAGCTAATTTTCACGGAAAATACCTGACAATAACGGCTATATCCACTACCCCTGGACTCACAGTGATAAATTCGGGGTGCTAAATTTACCTTTGCATCGACACACATGGCTTTCTCCGTCTCACAACACTGTACGGTTACAGGAAACGGCCAGGCAAGAGCAGGAACTAACTTTCCTGCCAGAGAGAGCGCAGAAAGTGTGCCCCTACGCGGTTGCTCCACGCTAATTGGTGAATTTTATTCTGGACCGGCAGCATACCCAAATCCTATTCGCTGGAAGAGCCATCCGTCCTTAGTACGGCCTCGGTAGGCGGAACTAAAGCCACCGTTCGGTTGAGATGACAGTAAATGCGGCCTAGTTGGGCTCGTTTGACGGAGAGATCGTCAATGCCGCCGTTTTACTGCCGCTGATGCTCGTGTTAGACTGAGGAGACATTTTCAAGCAGACAAGAGGAAAACACACCGTGTCTCTGTCATATCAACGACTTTATAATGTGCTGAAACACAACGAGCCTGTCCGTTCGTGGCATACCGTCATTTTTTTCTCTCTAGTGTTTTTTTTAAATACACTGGTCACAGCACAAGAACCATTCCACACCTATAAATGAATGGAAACATCATGTCATACTAATGTAATACATTTTAGAAATGTACAGTTATGTCGAAAAAATATATTTATTTTGTTGATTGTCATATTTTGACAGATTAACTGCATTTCTATTATGTTGTTAAGATCGTTCTCATGAGTAATTGTAATTAAGTCATTAGTGCCCTCTAGCGGTCGCCTGCAGAAAGACACTGGCCTAGAAAAATATTGGCATTTATTTTGAAAATTGTCTAAACTATACAAACATGAATATGACTAATTTTTGTAAATAAATAAATAAAAGTGAGCATTGCATATGAACCAATAATGAATTAACGTTATTTTCAAACCAAAAAGTAACTAAAACTAAATGCTTGTTAAAAGTTAGCTAAAAGTATATACAAATATATCTTTTGGTTTTTGTTCTATAAGTTAGAACCAAAACAATATAAATTTTATTTGGTATATATTTTTAGTTTTAGTTTAGTTTTAGTTTTTAGAATTATAGTTTTCAGTTTTCTAAAAAAAAAAGTAGATGAAAGCTGGATGTTAAAGAAAGTAAGAATGTGTTGTTGTTTGTGTGTGTGAGTGGGAGAGAGAGAGAGAGAGTGGTAGAGGTATGTTAAGGGAGTGCTGTTGTCTGTGAAGCAGTGAAGTGTAACAGACTACATATGACAGCCCCCTACACTTTATCCAGGGCCATCCTGCAGAGTGGAGGCCACTTCAACGCCAAAGTCTCCATCTGTCTATGAGGAGTATCCGCTTTACACCACGCTTTACTCAGTGTCCCGTGGTGCTCTGCTTGGTCCACGCCAACACCAGCTCTGCTGCTGAGAGCTATATTTACTAACAGCTGTCGTGGCACTGTGAAAAGAACCACGAGTGGGTGGAGCTAAGTTCAATATTGGTCACACCTAAGCAGTCGTTACTGTGTGCTACGCCTGCACTAATTTGTATGTACTGCAGTGAATAAATATATGTGCAGTGTTTCTAATGTATGATCCAAACATAACATAACTATATCAATAAGTTGACCTTGATATAGTTAACCATTAGCAGAAACAGCAACAAATGGAGCCACAAACAATCAACATAAATAAAAATTAGTCCAGAAATAGAACAGGCTTTGCTACATGTTAGCCCAAAAGCTAAACTTAACTTTAGATCTCTGTTTACTCAACTCCAGTTTATAGCTTAAACAGCTAAAAGTTAGCCATCAATAGAAGGAGATTTTACAGTTCTTTATTTAAAATGTTCTCCCTAATAGAAATTTCAGTTTAAATAGACATTTTTGGACGGACGTGTACTGCACAGGAGCATCCAAACACACAAGACACGCAGAAGAAAGGGCTAATTTTAGCAAGTTTTACGCTACACAGGATGCCATGTGGAACACAGACGAAGCAAAGAGGCACTCGCACCTAGTTTTAGCACAGAAGCCCACGTCGCACATGGTCACTTGATATTTTTGATACTGTGAAAAAAAAGCCCATCAAATATTTACGCACAGAAACAGAGCAAACTCAACTCACAGACACACGTTTCCTGGTTCTTTATATAATTAGAAAATAAATAGAATTTGCACAATCATATCTGCATTTTGCATAAAATGTGTTGCTTTTCATGCACTTTATATTAAAGTTACAGCCTAAATCTCTTTATTATTTTTTAAATTTTATCTATCCTCCCGTTTCTTTTCTCCGGCTGTCACCTTCACATCTCTCCATGTACAGGCCTCACAACGGGAAGACCAGGAACCCAGAGAAGGTGGAGTATTTCCAGCCTCCCATCAGGTTCCCCCTCTCCAGTCTGAGGTAGGCCTTATCCCCCTTCTCCATGATCACCAGCCCAGCATTGGTAGCAGCTTCTCTGGTCACATCCTGGTCCCCGGCGAAAGCTGAAATCATGGGCCAACCGTTGACCATCAGGCTGACCTAAAAAAAAAAACAAATTAAAGAATTAGGAGTTCAACTGGAAATAATCCTCTGATGTGAAAAATAATATCACTGGTGGGCTCTACCTGGATGGTTTGCCTGTTGTAGGCCTTCACCACATGGAAGTTGAAGCTGTAAACCCCTCGCCTCGGAGCCAGAAAGACGCTGCTCTCTGATTCAAAATGAGAGCCGACGTTCACCAAGATCTGTTACAGTAAATGTAAATGTTGTGAAACGGGCCACAAGAACTAGTACCAGGAACTAAAGTTCAATTTGGTGGATACTATACAAAGTATCTTTGATACTATATTCAAATATAATACGTAAGACTCTTATATTCTACAATAATAAGTACTCACATTATCAAAGTAGATGATCATGGTGCGGTTGCTCATGTCTGTGGGCTCGTGATTCGTCTGGCGACTGACAGAGAAGGCCACCCGTCCAGATCCGGAGCGGACCGACATGCCCAGAGCGTTCCCAGCCGGCTCTGATGAAGGTGTGGAATCACATACAACCAGGCATTTCCCCTCCAGGACGATGGGCTCCGTGTCGTTCTGGCCCCTTGATCTTGGAAGTCCCCACAAGAGGAGCAAAGCCAGGAGTGCTGGGAGGTCGAAGTGGCCTAACCTGGAGTGCATGGCTAATCTGCAGCGGTTGAGTTGAATATTTCTGACTTTGGTGCCTTAAACTGGTCTCACTCTGTACAAGTTGAAGTATATTTAAACATATTACCCTGGATGTTTGGAAATGATTCAAGATTTTCCTAAAGAAAAGCTACTGTGGTCTGACTACAGCTGCTGTATTTGCTGGTGTCATCACCATAAAACAAAATAATTTAGATTAAACTTATCTTCTTGTGCCTTTCTTCTTTTTTCTTAGCCTCAGTAGATGCTAAATTTGTCTTTCGGGATCTAATGCGACTTTAAGACCGTTATAAAAAGTATTTTGTTTTCAATAAGTTTAGCTCAGATGGTACGGCGATGGTCCAGCCTCAGTCAGTCTTCAAGTGTCGTCAATGATGAAGCAAAAGAAACTAGGGAGAGGAGAGAAAATGACGGGGGAAAAAAGACAGGGGCGATGAGGTAAGGCTCTGGAAAGGTGACAGGAAAAGGATGCAGGAGCCGTGAGGGAGTGTGAGAAAGAGAGAGGGAGTAGGGGAACGACTCCACTGAGTGACCATCTGTCATCCATACACAACCTCTCCCCTATTTCCTTACACAGCACTTAAACTTTACATTGATGTTATCTCACAACTACACTTTATACCTGTTATATTTGGTGCTGATTTAAGCTCTTTTTCAAACTTTAATCTGCTTTAATCTCTTTACTTTAAAGTATATAAGGTATAAGCAAAGCCTATAGATTTACTCCACACTATACTGTAAGTGTATAATGGAAGTCTAAGGGTGCAAATACATATAAAGAGGCCATTAATGGTCCCTGAGCCACACAATGGAAACACCTGTAGTGCAGCTACTAAAGACAGTGTGTAATTTACCAAAATATTTGTCCTGAAAGAAATAATATTCCATCTTGTTAACATTCATATACACAGCAGCTCCTACATCAGGGTAAAAATACGTAGTTTTTAAAATCTTACGTAATTTGCTCAGAACTGCATTTTGCAGGACATGTTCCGGTCCAGAATCATTAACACGTTTTAACTAACACACATTAATCTTTAAGGAAAAACAAAGAACCATTTTTTCCATTTACTACATGCACTTTGTTTGGAATAATTAAACCAACACACATTTGTTTAGAATGTGAAAATTAGACATTCTTATCACCAGTGACACACACACAAAATCAGAGACATATAACAATTCAAATGTATTTATCTGACCTACCTGTTTGCAGTTCAATCATGTGTGGTAACAAACTGAATAAACAGTCACCTGTTTCCATCTGGAAGAGTTGTTTTTTTTTATCTTCTACCACATGAATAGCAGCCTGCGCTTTTGCTCCTCCATCACATTACTCCACAGTACAGCAGTTCTTCTGAGTCCAACAGAGTAGCTCTAATCTCCCTCTCTCTCTCTCCTTTCTCATCCCCCCACACACCTTTCCGTCTGTTTCTTCCTCTCTCTGTGCGCTCCATCCACCCACTCACCCTTTCAGTGAACTAAAGTAAAAGAACCGGAGGAGGATGAAGAATCTGTGGACCAACGTTGCTGGTGAACCTTTGCCTGAATGAAGACACTAAAAGTCTTTCTGTAGAAGCTGTAATTGAACCCAGGGGCCGACAAAAGGATGGGTTGTACATTTTTCAGCAGCCTGGTTAAACACACACAAAAAAGGTAGGAAAGAACCAAAAGAAGAACATGGCATCACCTGAAGTTAGAGACTTCTGAATGGATAATTCAAAATTTTTTTTTAGGTTACCCAAAAATGTATTTCATTTATACGATATATATATTTCCATTTACTTTACTTTACTTTACTTTAAAGTATATATATATATGTGTGTGTGTGTGTGTGTCTATGTATATATGTTTTTTGTATACATATATGTATATGTTTTTTATGTCAGTTACAAGTATTCTGGACACAACACAACCCTTCCGTCAGGCCGTTATGATAACTCAAGGCAGTGTTAAGATCAGCAATATTAAACGACTTTTGTAACTTCGCCACTAGATGTTGCTGTATCACACTGTACCTTAAGGAAGACCCAAGAAACACATTTCCTGGAAGTTCAAGCACATTAAGGTTCCAGGGCTGAGTTGTGTCTTTATTTAAACCAGACTAAAACGCTGTTCCTGCTCCCAGGATCTTTTGGTTTCTTAGACTTTGAGGATGGAGATGCGACTGTTAAGTTTGGTTTTGTACAGTCCAAAGCCCAAGGTCACAGGCTGAGTGAAGGTGGTGGAGAAGGTGTGAAGGTGGGTGAGGTTTCCAGACCGTTCCACCTCAGAGAAGGTGATGGTTCCTGCTCCGTAGTCCAGGGCTACGGCGATCCTGTTGTCACTCATTTGGTGATTCAGGCGAGTCTTTCGGCGGTTGTGCCAGGCAGCGAGTTTTCTGTCATGCTGCTGCGTTAAGCTCCATGACACCTGTGGATTTGACAGAAACCAAAATTAGACAATAGCTAAAACTGGGGAGAGAGATTATGTTGTAAAACACTATCAAAAGTTTATTAAAAAAAAGTTACGTTAATTTATGTGTGTATATATGATCTATATGATCTATACGATATATCTGACCTCTACAAATGGATGGACAATAAGTCATTGAATCTGCAAATTAATCATTGTTTGACTGAACAATAAAAGAAGAATCTAATTCAAGAGTAAAACAACACATACAATAATATCCATGGTTCTGGTTCTGTCAAATATCTCGACTTCATGGCAGAAATACCTTATTGTTCCCAAAGGCGTTTTCGTCCTTCCCCTTTCTCCCAATGCTCCTGTAGCAGACACCAATATCCCAGAATCCTTCAGCCTCCAGCTCCCAGTGGTGTGTACCAGACGAGAAGGTCTGGACGACGAGGATTTGAGGCCAATGGTCAAAACGTTCAGGACGGGCCACGTAGGGCAGACGACCTTTGACCCTGGTCACTGAGCGACAGTCATCGGAGATACTCAGGAGAGGGTGAGCGGTGTTTTTGTCCAGCGTCAAACGACTGGTTACTGTCCAGGAGACACAAATAAGTCAAAGGTTAACAACTCTGATTCAAAGATCACAGATGACTTCAGATCAGATCTGCTACTCACACAACTCCCTCTTGAGTTCACCGAGGCAGCGGAGAGTGGAGGTGATGAACTCGCGATACTTGGTCTCCACATCCTCCAGGATGTGCTTCCTGTCCAAACTGAGGGCATCAGGGGTGAAAAGAGGGCTGTTGATGTCAGCTAATAATCTACAAAAGGAGAAAAACAACAAATATAAAATGATATAATTATCCACAAATGATCATGTGAATGGATGAGGGCTTCTGGGAAAGCTTTTACAGGTTTTTTAAGGGACTTGTTTTTGCCATTTTTCCAGTAGAAGATCCAAGAAGTCGGTCATCACTGATAGAGTTTTGGCTCAAAAACTTTTATCCTCTTTTGTCTAAAGATTTTAAACTGGACCCCCAGTGATGTGAATGATGTCTCACCAAGACACTTTGGTCAATATTGTGTTTTCACACTTGTGGGCAGGGTTTTGGAAAGACCCTTCTCTGTTCCAGTGTGCTTCAGTTTTCAGAACAACAGCCAGAAAGACACGGATAAGTGAGTCTGCTGAGGGAAAATCTTCAAAAACCCTGACCTCATCCTGAAAACGGACACCTTTGGAATGAACTTAAACAAAGATGGTGAGTCCAAAACCCTGCATTATTCATTAGTCTGACTTTACAAATTCTCTTCTCTTATAATGTGCAAAAAAATCCCACAGAAAGTCTGCAGGAAAATTGTAAAGGCCTAAGAAGTGTTGTTAGAGCTGCACAGAGGACAGGTCCATAATTATGGCTATGCTTTTTTGGTCGGTTTTGCTCTGGATTTACTGAGATTTTCTTGTCTGTGTTTCTATATCTCTACATCAAAGAACATCAATCGATTTGGGAACTTACTTTGTGTCATCGGACTGAAAGGCCTAAGGACAGAAGAGTCGAGTAAAGTGGTGATTTGCAGAAAGAATATCAGTGTCAGTAAATATCTTGACATTCATAAGAACCAGGTCTCACCCAGATGAGCAGAAAAGGGTCCGTCTCCGCCAGCAGGGAGGACAGGAAGTGCTGGATACCGAGTGTCTGGCTAATGTCGTCCCGGACCTTGGAACAGTCTTGGTGCACGTTCTCAATGAGCTGCTGCCTCTCCGTTGTAGTGATCTCCTTCAGCGCCACCACCAGCTCCATCACCTGAACCTGCAGCTCTGAGCCCATTCGCTCCACCTGGACCTGATCGTTCTTCAGTGACTCCTGCCACGAGAGTCAACGGGAAAGATCACCAGCTGATAAAGAGTGATGTTTTTCCTCTACATAAACATTTTTACTCACAGCCATAAAGGAGTCGATCTTCTCAAACTCTTTCAGGATCCTTTCTCCATCCTTTAATTTGTCCTCTGCTTTTCCCAGCAGCATTTGGACAGTGACCTTCAGATCTTCCTCCACCTGCTTAAGTGCTTTGACTTGGTGTTCAGCATGACCCCCCTGGAGCAGGCAGTCTCCACACATGTACACCTTGTCGTCTAAACAGTAGTAGCGGAACATCTCAGCGTGTGCTGGACACCTCCTCTGAGAGAGGTCTCCCAGTGGCTCCACCAGCAAATGGCTGCTGAATGCTGGGTTTCCTAAGTGAGGCTGGAGATGTTTGAAACACAGTGACACCTCACATCTCAGACAGGTCTTCACAGCCACCGCCGGCTTCTCATCTTCTGCCCCAGGAGAGCACCAGTCACATGACACTTCAGCGCTCTCCTCCTGGCACTGGGGACAGGTGAAATGAAATTTCCCCTCACCCTCACTACTCCAGGCCTCCCGGATGCAGACGGAGCAGAAGCTGTGACCACAGGGTAGAGGGTTGGATTGACCATAGTTGTCTCTGCACATAGAGCAGGTCAGCTCTTCCTCCAGGGATGCCATTGGACGCAGAAGGAAGGGTGTTTAGAAATGTCTGTGAGTTAGAGAGAAAACATTTTCTTTACCTTCCAATTAAAGTCACAGGTTATCTGAAAAGCAGCCATGGAGTAAAGTAAAATCAATCCTCGACACAGACAAACAGCTCCAGTTTCTCATCTCTTACCCTGCTCTTCAACATTACAAACAAGCAGGAAATACAAGCTGATGTTAAGCTAACCGTATCCATGTTACCCTTGCTCTGAAAATGTTGCACCAGTGCAATCTTTGCCCTTATCCTCTTAGACCAGAGATCCTCTTCCACTGAGCCCTGGACCAGTACCAGGGCACAGAAAATACATTTAAAAAAACGGGTTGATCATAAACCTTCAATTTAGTGTGAAGGTTGAATAACACTGACCTTTGGTTAGCATTAACTCAGGTTTAAGCTGTGGCAGTAGAGGGATCAGAAGATCATCCTTCACAGCTTCTTGACCTCATTTACTCACACAGTCCTTTGGTTTAGTTTTAAAAGATGTCACTCCTTTATTCCCGTCAAAACATTCAAATCACATGTATTTAAGGTCAGAGTTTAAGTTTCATGTGTTACCTGATGATGCTGCTGATGATGTGCTGCTGTCTGATCGTCTCCATTGATGGTCGTGTGCAGTCAGCACTCTGTGCATGTAGGTTAATCCCAGTGGATTCAAAACCCACTGACACTTCAACCTGCTGCTGCTCACGTGACTCTGAAACAGGAGGGAGGACATGAGAGAAACTTATCAGGAATCCGGAAGAATTGAACTATTTGTACAACTATCATGAAAACAATGGGTGTAAGAACTGCTATTTATCAAAGTAAAAAAACCTCCAAAACTGTACAATATTTTAGTTATATAAAAATAAAGGCCACCTAACTGATTTTTGAAAAGCTTATAAATTGCTTCACACCAGCTCTTACTCATCATTATTAGTAATTACCATTAATTACTTATTTTTTATATATTTGAAAAAGAAATATGCATAGTTTTGTCATTTCAAATAATTAGACATCTATCAGACTTGACTTCACTGATCATGATTCTGTTTGTTTGGGAGACCCCTAGTGGTTAGACTGCTGAAATGCAGTGCAGAAGGTAATAGTGCGAAATATTATTGTTCAAGAAGAAGAATTATTGTTCAACAATTCCCTCATGTTAGATCATCAGCCAGGTAACAATATTCTTAGAAATAAGCATATACGTAGGTATATATAGTTTTTATTTCTTAGAAAAATATTAGTTTTTATTATAAAAGGTCAAAATAGACTTTGAATAAAAATGTCATTCACAGTAAAGTGAGTAAAATGATGTGAAAACTAAAGCCTAGAATTTTATTCTAGATTTACACATCAAGCAGATTCAAAATTAATTATGAGCCCAAAATTTTTCCTCCTTTTTAAAAATATATCAAGATAAAATATTGGAGGTAGACAAGGACAGAACTGGACAAGTTTCGATTTTTTTATTTAATCTCAATAAGGCTTGAGCTCTTAATAATTTTATACACTAGATCAATACATCTGAATAATAATAATAATTACTTGTATTAATAACAGTATTAGCAGCACATCTGTTTCGGTGTGTACGGGTGTGTTGACCTGGCTACACGGCCAAGTGTCAGACACACACTCGGAGTCAGTGTGAAGGTAACAGTGGCCACTGTTTTCCCAGAGGACTGTCTGGAAACACAGGCCATTTAATTATAAGACAATCAGACAGACAGTTGGACAGACAGACAGACAGTACTGCAGAGTGCAGACAGACAGGTTCAGTGCCTAACAAATAGAAAGAGAAGAAAAGAAGAGGAAGATAAAGAAGAGCAGGAAAAAAAAAAAGAAAAAAAAAAAAGAGGAAGATAAAGAAGAGCAGGAAAAAAAAAAAAGAAAAAAAAAAAAGAGGAAGATAAAGAAGAGCACGAAAAAAAAAAAGAAAAAAAAAAAAGAGGAAGATAAAAAAGAGAAGGAAAAAAAAAAGAAAAAAAAAAAAGAGGAAGATAAAAAAGAGAAGGAAAAAAAAAAGAAAAAAAAAAAAGAGGAAGATAAAGAAGAGCACGAAAAAAAAAAAGAAAAAAAACACACACAAATCCTTCCCCCTCAGCGACCACAGACTCCGTCTGATTGTTCGTCGCCCCTGCTGATCCTGCTGCCACCGGACTGTGTAAATGAGTTACATTCATCCATAAAACCCTGCTAATGTGTGCAAGTGCGTGTCTGCGTGTCATTAAGGAAAGAGACGTGTGTTTCTTTTTTTCCGTCGGAGATAAATAATTGAAAAAAATGCGGCTGTCCGACTGCGCATCACCGGGAGTCAGCAGGGAAATGCTGCGCCAATGTCCCGGCTGAGAGACGGAGCACATCTTCTCCAGTAGCCGGCTGCTCCGCTGCCCATGAAACAATAATAATCTTCGGGAAATTAAAAAGATCATTTCTATCGCGGTAAGTTCCTCTTGTGCTGCATGTTAAGGTTTGCTGTTAGCGACGCGCGGCCTGTGTAGGACACGCACATCCGGGACTGAGCTGTTTTTCCGGAGCAGTCATAATATTTTATGAATCATAACTTGTTATGATGCGGGAGCGCGCCTGCTGCGCAACAGGTCGCCGTACAGTAGCGGGGACGCGCATCGCAGCGCCGAATTTTGCGCCCGTTTCCAAAACATCGGCGTAAAGAAAAAGGAAAAAAAAAAAAAAAACCCACATCGTCCTGCTGTTGTTCCTACAGTGTATGTGCTGATGGACACGTTTTCATTTTGACAAAATGGGAGCGAAAAACGCGTTTTGCCAGAAACAATGGAGTCGTTTTAAAAACACGGAAAAAACATGATCAGGACAACTAGAGAGTTATCGGCTGAATGTGTTTGTGGAAATGTGATCGATTACACACGGATGTGCTCGTTCGTAGCCTAATGATTATGATAATCATGGTGAATTAGTTGATTGGTTCGTGATTCACTTGGCTCCTCAGGTCATGAGTCACAGGTTAACGCTCTGCTTATGGACATTATTTTGGAGTCTTCAGCCAAACCAGGCTCCCGTAGATGCTCTTTATTAATCATGTGCCGCGTTCACAGCTGCATTGTCACTGAGCTTCTATCTGTGCATCAAAGCTATGGAGCATCTTAATATTCTGTTCAAGTCCCACAGAGACAGAGACGGAGACAGTGGGTGGTGGTGGAGGGGTGTCACCAATGTGTCCAGGGTGAAAAATTATGTTTCTCTTCAATCTGGCTGTCTCTCTCTCTTTCTCTCTCTCACACACATGCACACACACACAGACACACTCCACGTGGTATAAGCAGTGGTGATGAGGGTGAAAAAGGGAAGCATTGTCCCCTTCAGTCAGTGGCCTTGTGTGTTGGAGAGGTAGAGGGGGAGAGTGAGAGGGTGATGTTCACTCAGCTGTGCTCCCCTTACGCCATTGTTGCACATTCCGCCACCATTTCCTCCAGCTCTGTTTACTGACGGACACACACACACACACACACCTTGAATAGATCTAAGGATGCAGCAGGATGTGTGTTGTTCTGCAGTGACATTTGACTTGGATTAAGAAAAGTAATTTATCTCTCACGTTGGCTTTTGTGTCCACACCTTTGTCCACAGTAATCCATAACGTCCATCAACGGAGCCTCTGTCAGGACACAGACTTTACGCTCACAACAACAGACTACACATAAGAAATGGCCGAATGCCGTTGTAGATTATTGTGAGAAGTGAAGGAGAAGACAACGTGACTTTCTTGGGTTCTTGAAGCTTCAAATGTGTCCAGTAGCCGTCCTCTGAAGTTCTACTGTTACAGACTATGGGTGCAGTTATAGTTCTGGTCCAAAGAGGGTGAAAGAGGTTTCTATGTGGATTATCTGCTTTGGAGACTTCTGAAGAAGAGAGCAGCGACATTGATTCCTCGTCTTCTTCTCTTTATCCATAATCAATTATTTTCTGCAGCCGTAGTCTCCACTTGTTTTACCCCTTCGGGGGAATAAACATTCACGGACCACTGAGGTTGAGACCTTTATAGACGGAGGCTGTGATGAAGTGATGAACCTGCACGTTGGTGTATGCTAAAGAAGAGGCAGCAGTGGACTCCTGGATGAAAAGAAGGGGTGTTCATTTGCCATTTGAATGCAAAGTAGTGGATGAACAAGTGAGCTGTGTGTGTGTGTGTAAAGGGGAGAGAAAAAGAAAGAGGGAGGGCCAACGGTGAGTTTTGAGAAAGGGAAACTTGTTGAAACTGTCACACACATGCCTCTTTGGAACTGTAGTTCAGCTTTTCTTTCCTCTGCACCAACAATGCCGCCAACATGGACTCGCTGTCCTGAGACTAATCCAAGGCCGAGCTTCCACTTTCACATTTCTGGAGGAGATGCACACAGATTTCTTTTTTCCTTTTTCGAGGCCTCTCCTGAAGTTGTTTAGATGCATGAATTTTTCAGTTTGCTGGGAGACAGATTAAACGTTGCGATTTTGGCCGATGCGTTCCTGCAGGCTGCAGAAGTATGTCTCGGCGGAAACAGAAGCGACCCCAGCAGCTGATGAGCGTGACCCTCGGTGCATGTCGGACACTTGAGCATGGTGAGAAGTGGGCTCTGAAACAGGACTTAAACATCGTGGGGTTGTTGTTAGTGAATAGTTCATACTTTTACAGTTGTACATTCATGTGAAATGCAAAAGCTTTACACTTTAAACAGACCATGTGTCTTTTTAAATAAAACAAGTGATTTTTTTTAAATTACGTATTTTATCAACAACAAAACAGATATTAAAAAATAGCCAAAATATAGAAAAAAAATGTTTAAGGGAAGCTAAAAATTAAAAATAAATATACACTAAAAAATGCAGAAAACTAAGTAGTAAGTCACAAAGAAAGCAAAATCTGCAACATGTTAGCCAATTCGCCAGAAGATAAGTATAAATTAAAAAATTAAATCCAGAAATGGCTAAATGTTAGTCAAAAATAGCTAAAAGATAAATAAAACTAAATGAAACCTGGAAAACTGTTAAAACCTGCATTAACTTGCCCAAAGAAATTATACTTTGGCAAAATAAAGTGTCTTCTCTCTCCTCTTCACTGCTACTTTCAAAGACACAGACCACCCAGACTACAGTGACACACAGTAAATACACACAGAGATGTGTGCGGAATAGAGCAGAGTCCTAATGTGAGTGAGAGCGGGAAGAAAAAGGTCAAGAAAAGGGAAACTTTGAGGGACTGAACAAGGTGTTCCAAGTGCAGTGGCATTAGACTCCATTGTCCTATTTGGGCTTTGTTGGTGGGAACTGAAGCGTGAAAATACCCCCCAAAAAGTGTGTGTGTGTGCATTCACTCTGCTTACAGGAAAAGGGGTCTGTGTGCTGTGTCATAAAATGGTAGCGATTGAGCAAACAGCAGCGAGCTTGACTGCACACCAGCCGCCGTGTGCATGTAAAGTGAATGAGCGTGTTTTCTCTTTTGGTAGAGATGTGTTGTCTATGGAAAGGCGTCCTGTGCGTCTCTGCATTTCTGAGTTAAGGTGACGGCCCGTGACTCATCACTCAGTCTGTCTGCAGAGCTGTTTGTTTTTTCTTACACAACACCTTTCTCTCTCCGCCCGGACCTGGACCGCATCAGGAATGCGACCCTAAGCTGAGTAAGGTCACGACCATCAGCCAATCAGGCTCCCCGTACAGTGTCCAACTGAGAACTGATTTTTACCCTCCACATTGACGTACTGGGGGATGGGCTCTTGGGGGAGATGAAAGAAAGACGTGGATCGAACGGGGGAAAAAAACAAAAGCGGGGAAGGTGAAGATAAAAGAGTGTCTGGATGTGGCTTTTTTATTAGGGCTTGAGAGTGAGGGGGTGAGGGATGGGAGGAGGAGATGAAGCCCAGTGTCTTGTGTGTGTTGCCTGGAAACAAGGTTAAGCACGGTAGTTTGCAGACCATGGAAATCTTGGATACAGCAGTGATTGATGTTCTATCCTCATGGGTTTGAGGATAGTTGGTTTGAAGTTGAGATAAGGTGATACAAGACAGGAAAAGATAAGATAAGGTAAGATAGGACAGAACACAAAAAGATTAAGATTTGGAAATTAAATTAAAACATTCAAATGTGACGGGGGTACAGGACATGTTAATATTAGCTTTAGCTTTGTGGTATAAATTGCCTAAACATTTATTGAGATCTCTTTCCTCTCTTCTTCTAGATGATCACTTGGCAGTGAAGTCACCTTCCTATCCAGTAAACTTGGACTCTTCCTTGTGTTATACGTCTCCTCCTCAAAGCTCCCAGCTGCTCCTGACGCTGCATTCATCTTTTAAAGGGTCTCAGACCCTGACTCTGCCCATTGAGGGTCCACGTTTATCAGGTTTACTCAGCCCACCCTCCAATTCAATCCACCAGGGCAAGCAGCCAAACCTTCTCTCTGGTTTTGCCAAACAGACCCTTTCTTCCAAAGCTCCACATCCACCTCTGCTACAACTGTCTGGTTGTAGTCTCACATCTTCTGCAAGTTCTCTCACCTACACTTCACGAGGTACACACATGGCCTCTCCCAAGTTGGGGCTTTCAGCCACCACGACCACCTCCTCATCCTCCTCATCATCGTCTGCTTCTCTTTGTCCACCACCACACCCTGGCAGTCCCAGCCGTGTGCCTGATGGACCCCCAAGTCCTGTTACACCTACTCCCAGTCCAGGATTGACATCTGCATCAGCTACATCGTCTAAGGCCCAGATCAGCATCGCCCTCATTCTGGAGGAGCTTCGTGTGCTGCAGCAAAGGCAGATCCATCAGATGCAGATAACAGAGGAGATCTGTAGACAGGTGCTACACCTAGGGGGCGCCTCCTATACGGTAGACACTCCTGCACATCATCATTTACCTTCCTTGCCTCAGCTCTGCTTAGAAGGCAGCAAAAGGGCAGCCAGTCCAACTACCCAACCAACTCCACCCCAACCTTCTGCTACTGTTGCCCCTCTGTTGGCATGTTTTGTCAACAAGCCCACAAAGCCTATCTGTTCCTCATCCCAAATCCTACAGCCTCACAAGCCACAGATGGAAGGAACAGGAGGGTCTTCAGGGGCGGCAAGCAATCTGGGGATGAGCGCTCAATCTTCCCCAGCCAGCACCACCTCCTCGGCTGCCTCCAATTATCCACTAGCCTTGTCTTTAGCTCTGCCTAATCACTATCTTCATGAGAAATCTAATAACACACCTTCACTGAGTGGGCAAAGCAGCCTGTCATTTTTAAACTCATCCTTTTCCAATACAGCACCTACTGGCCCAAACTCTCAACACCCTGGCTCCAGTGGGGGAGAATCAGCCCATTTGCCCAGCTCAACCACTTCTGGGCGCCTCCAGCATGTCTGTCGATTTTGTGGGAAAATGTTAAGCAGTGATTCAGCCTTGCAGATACATCTACGCTCACACACAGGAGAACGGCCCTACCAGTGCCCAGTGTGCCTGAGTCGCTTCACCACACGAGGAAACCTGAAGGTGCACTTTCTACGCCACAGAGAACAAAATCCAGAACTCTCACTGTCGCTACTGCCACCATCATTGTTCGGGGTAGCATTAGGGGCCGCTGGAGGACCAGATATGGTACAGGCCATGGGCAGTAGTAGCAGTAGCAGTGGTGATATTAATATGAAGAAACGGAAAATCAGGTCTGAGGATGAAGCCTGTGGTGATAAATTTGATGTCAGTGGCACAAACACCAACTTATCTCTGGGTGTGTCTGGAGGATCTACCCCTTCCACTCTACCGTTGCCCCCAACTGTGGATTTGGCATTGATTTCCCACTCTATCCTGCAGCTGAATAGGGCTGCAGCTGTAGCTGCAGCAGCTTCTATTGCTTCTGCCTCGTCAAACTCTCCCTCCTCCTCTTCAGCCTCCATTTCTTCACTGGCTTCATCCCTTCTCTCAATTCCTTCTTTGTCTTCATCTTCCAACATCACAGGGTTGCTCAAGAGTGCGAAGCAGCAGCAGCATTTTGATGAGAACACTCCTCCTCATACACCAATGATTTCTCCTGCTGCTTATTCCCAACTATCTCACCTTCCTAAGCTGCTTTTTCCATCAGCTTCGTCTGCGTCTACCTCTGTTGCACACTCGTCCCTCTACAACAGTCAAGCTCTAAGCCTGCTCCGCTCACACCTACCCACGACTGCAGGCTCCCTTCACCTGCCTTCTTCCAGCCAGTCTCAGCTTTCATTCCCATTCTCTACTTTTCCCAAAGTTCCAGGTGCATCTGCCTCAAATCCCTCTTCCATACCGCCCTCCATGGCCTCTTCTATTCCTACATCTGAAACCTCCAAGCTGCAGAGGCTTGTGGAGAAGATAGAGAAAGCTCCTCCACATCCCTCTGCTCCATGGGCATCCTCTTCAACCTCTACATCCATTCTAGAGATGTTAGCCAACACTAGCACTACCTCTTCATCAGGTTCTGCCGGCAGTCATTTATCAAACGCTAGCACTTCTGCTACATATGTTGTAGCATCAAAACCGTCTTCCTCCCTGCTCACTTCTTCTCTTTCCAACCTCACCTCTGAGATGATGGCCACCCTAGGTATGCGGAACAGTGGAGCAAATGCCATGGTTAGTGGCATGCTACCATCATTGAACCCACCAGGTACAGCTGCCGGTCTGACGAACAACCAGTGCGGGGTTTGTCTACGAGTACTGAGCTGTCCCACCGCACTACGTCTGCACCAGGCTACACACCTAGGAGAACGCCCTTTTCCATGCAAGCTGTGTGGCCGATCATTCTCTACCAAAGGGAGCCTGCGCTCACATCTGGCCACACATCATGCACGACCTTCCAATGCCCGTGTCCAGAACTCGTGCCCACTGTGCCAGCGCAAGTTCACTAACGCCCTGGTGCTCCAGCACCATATTCGTATGCACCTTGGTGGACAGTTGCCCCCAGAGGGCATAGAGGATTCTGCACGATCTCTGCAAGAGATTTTACCTGAATCTGATGCAAAACCTGTGACTCATTCCCAGTCAAATGATTCTAAAGTCGACTCTCGTAAATCACCATCTGTGTCCAGTCCATCTGAGATCCCAATCCTAAATTCTAATCCTCCAGCTCTTGTCACAGGCAGTACAAAGACTGCTGATTCTACTCTACAGAATCCAAGCATGTCTAAGTCCTGCAGCCCAGACCTCATTCAATCTTTGGACTCTTTCACAAATCCCACAACACAATCTTCAACACCAGTTAATGTGGACCCCCTCGCCCTTTGTGTCAGTGACCCAACGTCATCTTCTAAACAGACGGATCAGGTTTCCCCAGCCAACAAAGTCCACCAAGTTGAACAAGTTGACACAGATATTCAAAAACCCACCCTCTCACCAAGCTCCTCCACTGATATGAAAATTACAATAATGTCCATGGAATTGGACGATGGAGATGACGAATTATCTGCTTCTGTTAATGCCTTTCTAGGCTCCAGTCTGAGGTTGGACAATATAGAAAATAACCAAGAGAGTGATGTCATTGGTGGTTCTGAGACAGCACCATCTTGTCCAAATCCATCCTCAAGCCTGTGTTCAGATGATCCTAATGTTGATGAAACACAAACTGTGGAATCTCTCTCAGTGTTCTCAAAACCTCAGTCACCAGAACCAATGGAAGAAGACAAAAATTGTTCTCCACCACCAACACCAAAGCAAGATCAAGCAGCTGTGTCTGAGGAGGACCCCAAAAAGACCTGCAATGTTGGAGCAACAGACACTGCTGATACTGAAACAAGGGCTCCTTTACAGAGAGCTGCTTCTTTTGTAAGAGAGACGCGCCAGAGCTTTCATTTCGGATCTTATCGGAGGGAAGATCAGAGCAGATTGGCTACAAGTGAATCATTGGAATCTGCCATTAGCCTTGCCCCGACTCTGCCATCTCCAATATCCCGTCCCGAGAAGAAGACCTATTGCTGTGCTGAGTGTGGAAAGGAGTATGCCAGTCGTAGTGGACTTAAGGTGAGAGAAACATTTATGAAAAATGGGATTTCGTCATAAAATCAAGCACTAAATTTTTGAAAACTGTTTTTTTAAGCTGAAGAAATGTGAAATAACATCTCACATGTACTGAAGAATTTGTGGTGACAAGACATGAAGCTTCTTCACTTCTGAAACTGACCTGTAGGCGCCTCTTGTTCTGAGTTTCTTTTTGTTTTCACTTTCATCACCAGGGCCACATGAAGCACCACGGCGTCCTCAGCAAACCGTCTCGTCCGCTGGTCCGAAGTAGCCGTTCCTCCACTGACCAACTTCAGTCTTCCACATCTGTGACTTCCCTCAACATTCCGGCTACCAGGAGCTCGGTAGGCTTCTGGAACCAGTACCAAGCCTTTCTTAACACCAGTAAAGAACCAAATGATGACCCATCTGCTGGACTCCAGGGGGAGAACGAGACAGCACAATCCATAAGTTCACCCTCTGGATCTCAAATAGACCCTGGAGTCTTCGAGGACGGTGCAGAAGACTCTGGTGAAGGGTCGTAGCTCAGTCAGTGAGATCATCTGGGTGATTTGTTGGTGTTTTTGTATTCAGTGTTTACGTTTTGGTGAAATTGTATGGACTTTTCTCGTGTGCTTCCTTAAAGAAGCCTATCTGTTTACTAGTCAGAGTAATATGTATCAGTGTGAAGGTAATGAGTCAAAACGCCTGGTCATGTGATCAAAAACAAACAGGTACAAGTAAAGATAAAAGATACTGAAGAAGTAACAAAATGAGTCCAGGTTTGACTGGATTTACCTTAAATAAGCAGTTTTACCTCAGTCTGTGACGCTGGTTCTCAAACTTGATGGGGATTCATGTAGTAGAAATAAGGCAGAGTTCACAGATGTTACTGTGTCTAAGATTTTTTTAAGTTAGAGTTGTTTAGAATCTTAATAGTGGTAGGGCCTTTAGACCAGAAAACAAGTTTGAGAACCACTCGTCGAACTGAAGTTCTTGATACTATGAAGCACATTCTAACATTGTTGTTGTTGTATCGGTGTTTATAACAATTTGCAAAAGGTTTCCCACAGGCCCAGGTGTTTTATTATTATGTCATTATTATTATATCTGATTTATTAAGCCACCAGGAAATGTACTGATGTAAATTTGGGTCATCATGTAAACATTTTGTGTCATATGTGACACATTTGAAACTTTTTGCACCAATAGAGGTGTAGACTTACCAAACTGGATCTTGGTCCATGTCCAATCAGCCATTATTATTCCATCAGTTCAGGAGGACTGAAATAAATAAGGAAGTGAATTAGACATTTGAATCTGAATTTTGTGGGAGAACAAAATCTTAGTATTTTACAAAGTGTACCAACATTTCAGAGAATGGGGGTAAATAAGTGGGGTATTAACTTTTTACAACACTGTCCCGTTGAAGCAGAAACACTGATGCAGTGTTTTCTTTCAAAAACACAAAACTTTAAGCCTGGTAAAAGTATAATCATGACTGTTGTTTGGTCCAAATGTTTATCTGTAACATTTATTTCAGTTAGCACAGTTACTAAAACCATGAGTTACTACTGTATGTACAGCATATGACAAGTCTGTCCGTTTGTTGTAAACTGTTAATTCAGTATCTGCATATTAAAAATGAGTTTGAGGAGAAAAAACTATCCTTTTTATGTTGTTATTTATTTAAAATTGTAGCTGAGACGAGGCACAATTAATTGACTCACAATTAACTTCACAAAACAAATTAAAATTAAAATATACCCTTTACATTTAGCATTGCTATATATTTATATCAGGACATATTAATTATGTATATACAATTACCCTGCAATATTTATTAATGTATTAATTCCAACTCTAAACTTAAGGGGTAAATTTATATATTTATATAAAATAAATTTGTCCTGAGTTGAAATTCGCAGTTTGTACATAAGATGGCGCAATTTCTCCCTCAGGCCTCCTCTGGTCCTGACTACACTGCTCTGCTCAATGATAAATGACCATACGTTTATTCCTATAGTCACGTGGGTTGCGTCCTCGACTTTTTTTTTTTAAGCAGCCTGATTTGTTCCGGATTTGTTGTCCTGCAACGTGAACCTTCACTTCACTGCAGCTGACCACAGTCTGATACATTTTAAGGCCCATTAGGGCATTAAATCGTTGCCTGAGGGCGAAGTGGAGGTTCAGAACCGAGCCAAGTCTAATGCCAAGGTCGCCAAGTTTGATTCCAGCCCCTCTGTGTCTGAGGGGCGGGCTGAACCAGGAGGGGGAGCTTGTTACAAGTCTCTGCTTTCCTGCTAAAGGTCTCTGGGGAGTATCGCTGTACCACGTCTGCACCAGAGAAAGAGAGAGAGGGGGAGAGAGAGAGAAGGAAGAGGAGAGGGGATCCAAATAAGACGAGAGCAGGAAAGGAAAGGAAACAAGAGTGCAGCGACGAGGGGGGAAAAAAGGCTGATTCAGGAAGAGAAAAGTCGGATGCAACATCTAGAGCAGGACGCACAGCGAGTTGGAGCAGATTTACGCACAGCCCTGCAACTCCACACACCAACTGTCCTGCTTCCTGCTCCAGGCAAAGTCAGAGAGTGTGGTTTAAAATTCACAGAAACGTGGGAGGAATGGTCAGTCTGGTCAAATAACACCGGTGGTCTCAGTCAAACCCTGCACATCTGCGGGAAAACTCCTTTGGTGCCGTGCATTAGTCGATCACCCATTTGCGTACAGAACTATCGCATCATGTTTTGACAAGTAGCGAGGTGGAGGTTGCGCAAGTAATAGGTTAGACGTTTGTTTTGTACTTTTTTTTTTAATTTGGGAAAAACAAGTGATGGCACCAAAGCTGAAACCGTTTGTCCGACTGCTGCTGCTGGCGCTGGTGTGGGAGCTGAGCGCACTGGGAGCCACAGAGAGACAGATCAATCCTGAGGTGAGTGGAGTCTACTGTTACTAAACAACAACAACAACAACACATTTTACATCAAACTCATGATTTACCAAGAACCATTATTAACTGGGCATAGGGTTGTGGGACTGGGTGTCAAAGGAGCACCCACCAAAGGACAGGTCATCATTGTTTATCACTTTTTGCAAGAACAACCTCAGTTCAAGACACCAAAACACAGTATGACATCATCAAATATTCGTAATACAACGAAATATTCACTTTGTCGGGATAATAAAAAAAACTGTGTAAAACCAAAGGCAAAAACTGTTGCTAAACGTGAGTGACTTAGATACTCAGAGAGAAATAAGTAAAATAAGTTTAATGCTGTGGTTGAAGTAAAGGTAAAGCCCTTTTTTTTAGAAAGAAATATTGTTTGGGCCAGTTTATTAAATATAATTTTTCTTAAAGCAAAAATGAAAAAAAAAGTTAGTAGTCCAAAATGTGAATTAAAGTGTAATTAAAATAAAATGTCACCCAGTTATAATGACAGGAACTCTTACTAAGATGATGATAAACAAATCTTTTTTATTAAGTTTGTTTTTTTTAAGAATGTGAGCCGGAGGTGGGAGGTTGTGGAAAAACTGAATAATTACATATTTTCTGAATCAGTTTTTCTAAACAAGTGGGTCAGAAATGGCACACATGGTACATTTTGTGGTTGGCAAAAAAATAATTTCCTGGTCTTTTGATGAAAATGTATTTGTGAAGTTTAAGAAAATCCAGGTTTTAATCTTAGAGGTGTTTACCTGGACAAGGTTAAAACAGATTTTTAATCTCTGCTGTTTGTAGTGTTTTGTCAACAAAAGAAGAAAAAAAATCCCTGCGTCTAATAATTCCTGCAGTTGTCCTACTGCGTTGTGAGTTGGCTCAGGATTATGGGAGAATGACTTTGACCCTGGGTTAGAGGAAGCGGGCCATAATGATGATGGTTCTCATGAAAACAGTGAGAAATGCTGAGAGAGCAAACGCAGTCGAGCAAGACAAGGCAGAAGAAGAAAAAACACAAATGCATAGTTTTGTGTTGTGGTCCAGGCAGAGACAGAGGCAATTTTTGTGGGTACGCAGTAGGGTGGGACGGGGGGGATTAGTGTGGAGCGGGTAGGAGGCTGAGAGTGGAGGGTGCAGATGTGTTCTCAGGGATGGGGAGATGTGCAGTAACTGCTGACATCTGTCCTGAGTTATGGCTCCGTGGACTGGGGTGAGGTGGGTTTAACAGTCTGCAGCATCTAAGCCTTGGGCATCAGTGGAAAAACACTCGCCACAGTTTGAACTCTGGGCAGAGAAACATGAAAAGGATTTTCAGGAACCCACTGAAACAACCGACCAGGACTTACAGACCAAAAAAAAAAAAACAGTGTCTTTTGTTGTCTGCGTTGTATTTCTTCATTTTTAGCCAGATTTTGGTCTTCAGCCAAAAGATAAGACAGCTGTGGTGAGCTGTGCAGTGTTGACTGAAGTGACTGTGATCTGCTCACATCAGGAACTACTTTTGATGAACCTTATTTCCTAATTCTGCTGCATGTAAAAAGTCATTTATAATCTGAATTGTGAGCTGATGGTGAGCTGTGATTTGTCAGATCCTCCCCCAAAAAAACTCTCTTTAATCACGGCTGTGAATCTGAACGATATTTCCAGCTGCTGCGAGGAAAAGCTGAGCTTATTCCACTGTCCTACATTTGACTGTAAACTTAAAGGCACTTCAGGGACAAATGTCTGCACAGAGGACTGGAGCTTCACTTTAGATTCTGGCGCTTTTATACGAAAATAAAGTTAGTGAAAAATATTTTTTTTGCTGACCTAAAAATGACTATTTTTCACATTTTATGTTATCTAAAACCTTTAAATTTTGGCTAGCTTTAGCAGAAATAGCCTTTAACTTTCTTTTGCCAAATGCTTGTCTTACTTTTAAATGCTGTTGATGTCCAGCATTTGTTCACTGTATCTTGTGAACATTTACTCGATATTTTACCAGGACAGTTCAACTACAAATGCACACTTCCCAGGAAATGGCGTGAAGTTTTCAGTAGAATTTATGTTATAAATATTTATATTAGATAACACTGACGTATTTAAAAAAACCCACAGTTGCTGTGGGTTTGTCCATGTCATCGTATTTTACCTCCACCGACTCTGCTGCGTCAGGGAGAAGTGGGGCAACATATCTGTGTTATCACCAACATTTGGTCTCATAAAGGGACTGTGGTTGTATGTTGGTCAGCAGTGGTCGGTGACTTTGGCGGTCAGTTGTCATGAGTAAACAGTACATCAGTCATTTCCTGTGGTCCAGGGCAAAAAGCGGGAAGTGGACTGAGGTTTTTTATTTTATTCGCCACAAAAACACCTTGGTGTGTCAGCAGCCACCTGCCCGTGACACGGACGTACGTACGACCACAGATACTTCCTCAATCACACACGAGACGGCAATGGCTGGAAGCTGAGGTCATGGACTACAAAGGCAAGATAAGTGGGGGAGGACAGAGCAGATTAAAGAGAGAACAGTGAAGACGCTGTTGATGCTGAGAAAGGACAGCATTATCCCCACGACAGTGATGCAATCCGGGAAAAGTACGGTTGGAAAATGAGCCAATTACCAGTTGAATAGAAGAGGGAATAAATCCTAGCTGTCGGACGCACATCCTGTATGAACACAGTGTATCTCCTTCTTCTGCTTGGTAACTTCACACCACTAGTCACCTTTGAGGAAGTGTGGGCAGGGAAGGGAGGGTGAGAGGAAAGAAGGGAGGGAAGGATGTATAGTTTCTTTAAACAATGCCACATCCTCATCATCGTCGATGGGTGACTCTACAACAGCGCCCCGAGAGGAAAGATAGGAGGTGTAACAGGAAATAAGGTAATAGGTCTCGTCATTATCTCATTTCCTTCAGGACAAAAGTGTGCAGTGAGGCACATATTGTGTACCGCAGGTATTTTACTGGTAAAATGTTGGTGATTAAAGGTTAAAAGTGCAGTTCAAGTACCTTGAAGAGAGGAGTTGTTTAATAGACAGCAGCTGCAGGACTATAAAGTAAAAGCTGACTACTAACTCACCCACATTCACCCTGACCATCATCGATAAAGTCACTGTCGTGAAGCCATACGCTTCCAAAAATCCCAACGTCAGATCATGCAAACTCTCCACAGAAAGGCTGTTAGCTAACCTAGGATGCTAACAGCTGATTCTCTATGGAAACAGTGATCAAGCCCCGTGTTGCTACAGACTGAACACTGTAATATTCTTCCCTTGTCTTTTTCCCAGCCACAAAAAAATCTTTGGATATATTTTAGAACCAAATCCAGAGACATTCAGTCGACAGCTCCAATTGAGCACAGCACTGGAATTCACAAGTACATCCCAACTTTAACTGGAGTGTCATAAATGCCTCATTAGGACCAAGTTTTCATCAGCTGGTCCTAGAAAACCCTGACGCTGCCAAAGTGTAACAAAAATTACAGCAGGTGAAGATTTATGCTGAGTAACCTCAGCATGGGCTTAAAACTTCTCCACTAATGAACAGAGCAGTGTTTATACAATGGTAGGATTATAAAAGGCTCAGATTTATTGTGTTGTACTCAGTGTGTCAGCTCCTCACTAACAGCCCATTAATAAGCTGCTCTGTAAGCATTAACTTTTATGCACTGAGGACATACGTAAGTCTGCAGCCTTCTAGACAGACTGCGTGGACATGATGAGCTGTGTGTGTGTGTGTGTGTGATGTATACCCATAATGCCTCATCTGGACTCCCATCACTGTTGACCGAAGTTTCTTTCCATTGGCCCTGGCCGAATGGAACAAGTGACTTTTTCCTTTCTGTAAGGCAATCCCCTTTCTTCCATTCTCATCCTATGCAAAGTGAGCGCTGCGCCTCCTGACATGCATAGCAACCTAATGTTTAATTCCCTTAGATCTTCCATTATACAATAAAACTTACATCATATGCAAATGTGTGAGGTGCACTCTTGACACAAAACCTCCAGAAAATCCCTTTGTTTGGTGATTATTTATATATATATGTAATATATATATAATATATATGATATTTAGAGATCTGTTCAACCACAGATATATACGACATTTTTCATAATTCATATCTGTGGCTAATTTCTCAATCTTCTGGACAAGTCTCTGCTGATTTAGTGTGCTAACGTGAGTTACCATTGCACTCCTACAGCTAAAGTTCAACTGCTCTTACACATCTTTGAGTATAAGACATTTGTCTGTCATCAGATAATCATTCACTACACAAATGTACCTGCCCACTCAGATGACGTCAGTTAGTTAATGAGTTGTTGGTTAAGTCCCAACATCCAGTCGTCTGTATATCTGCAGCGATGGCTGCTGTCTGTCAATCATCTCCTGGCTTCCAGCTCATCTGCTCTGGGTTTTTACCCCAGGCAGAATCTTTTCACTGCCATGAGAAAATACCAGGCAGTGAATAAAACAGCAACAATTTCACTGTTGCTTTTATTCTATTTCTATCCAGGTGATACATGTGTGTCTACTCTCGCCTGTGTTCCGTTTTAAAAACATGGTTTGCCTCTGAGTTAAACTCATCAAACCCATGTGTGGGGTCAGAACATAAAAAAAGGTCGGGAACCAACATCAAAAGCTCGCAGTAGCTGGGACTGTCATTTACTACTCCGCAGTAAATAGTAACCATTTCCTCTTCCTGCTGCTCAGTCAGTCAGCCCATTAGTGAAGTTAAAAATAGTCGGGTGTGATGGTGAATAAGACTTAGTCAAGTCAAGTGTGGGACCTCTGGAGGAGGTGTGGAGCCCCTGAGGTTAAAACAGGAGTTCAGTGTCAGATGACAGCGAACAGAGGCCAGTGTTAGGAAGTCAGTGAGTGAAAGAGAAGAGAGAAAGGTTTCAAGCACAGATTATTCACACCACACTTTTTCTTTGCAACAAAATGTGTCCGGTGTAACTTCAGGAAAGGAAGGTGTTTGTTCAAAATGATAATTACAATAATAACAAGCTCCACGTGTAAGTCACCTCCATCTGTTCTCACCTCCTCGTGCTCCACTCTCCCCTGCGTCTGTGCTGTAACAGTAGCAAACACTGGGTCTTTATGTGTCGTCTGGAGCTGCACGGCTGAGTCAGAACCAGAAAGGACTCATTCAGGGCTGAAGACTGAAAGTCTGAGACCAGCAAGTCTGCATGAAACAGAGAGGTCAGGTGAGAAGATGGGGGAGTGTTTCAAAGGTGTACATCCTTTACTGCGAGGCTAAGGTTCCTTGCATGCTTCACAATCTTCACACAGACTGATCACCTTTTGAATCAATGTCTCAAAATCTAGAAGCTTGTGTCTGATATGCCTCCAGAACACTGACACAAAGTGCTGTAATTAGTCAATACTGTCCCTAAATTATTAATGATAATAATAATACATTTATTTACCACATCCACGTGTCTAAAGTTGTGGTTGGGCCTCAGTCTGCTGCCACACTCACATGGACCAGAGAAGAGACATTTTTCATTTTAAATCCCTACCAGATGGCCCAGTTAATAGAAGCAAGGTTATTTGTAACCACAGCAAATATAAAAACAAACATTTTTCTTATTATCCTCAAGTTGAAAATATCTGAAGTATCACTTAAAAATCACCAGGACTTTTTGTGTGCGATACAGTAGCTCTGAGTTGGTTTTTTAATTTTGCACATAACGATTTATTGTAGAAAACAGCAGCTAAACAAGTGAAACGATGTCTGATGATGAATCTTCTAATTCTTCACTGAACAGCAGCTGTTTATCTACAGTTGTTACGGCTGAAAAATGACAAAGATGATTAAACAAAACATTTTGGATTCAGCCAAACTCCTGTATACTTATTCAGGTGCCCTTCTGTCCAACAGGGGGTGCTAAACTTGTTTGCTGGCAGCAAACAAAAAAAATGACTGATCAGTAGTTCATAGTCTAAGCTGCACTTACAGCGCCCTCCGATGAATCATAGTGCTACTACCAAAGATGGTCATTTAAATGACATTTTGAACTTTGGTTTCAAACACATGCTGGCTGTTTGGCAGCCTTGGTTCGATTTTGTTATAAAAAATGCAGCAGAACATGTTTTGCCGTCACTGTATTTAGGAACTATAACTACAGATATGATACACAGCAATAATGGAGCAGCTGGGTGTGGTTGTTCATAATTATTTACCCTCAGCCCTCTGGGTTTTCCATGCAAGATGGATGAAGGAGGGAGGGAGAGAGGAGGTGGAGACAGAGACTGAAGTACATGGGGAAGAGTTCGACTTTGAGGTTTGGATGCTACGAGGACTCAAAATTCCCTGCTAAATTACTGACTGACGCTGCTGCTCTACTGGAGACACTGGCTGAGGTTGCCCAAGGCCTGAGTCTCACCCTCAGACACTCCCTGATTTCTTTTTTTCCCTCCCTCCTAATCCTCTTCTCCGCATATAAACTATGACCTTGGCAGTTCCAAACTAAATAGAAAATTATTGTAATATTAAATCGCAATTACGTATACTTTTCTAGGACAATTACTTCAAGGAAGTAACCCTAATACCAGTCACCTTTATCTGTCAGTCAAACAAGTGAAAAAACACACACCCTACATGCTGCTCTACACCCGAATATCAAAGTGCTCCTAGTTTCTGCAGCGCTCACAATAGCCACAGTGTTATTTATTTCAGCTCTGCTCAGAGAGGCAAAGAGTTCAGGAGTGGGAGAGGTGCGGAGCGAAGCTGCTGGAACTGGTCCAAATGTCAAACCAGAGCAGCGGTGAAATGAGTTTCCAGGGGAAAGTGAGGTCAATCACAGCAGAGACAGAGGGATGTGGATCACTGCAGAACTCAGTGACCGTCATCATCTGTTCTCCAAGTACTTTCTCCATGTTCTGTATTAAATTAGTCCAGAATCTGCTCTGAAACTCAAACAAGCGCCTGCAGGAGAGGCTGTTGGAGGTGGAGTTAATCTTTAACTCTTTGAAGGGGAATTTCCTCCCGGTCGAGTTTCTCTCTCTCAGGGTCTTTACTCTGAAACCCGAGCGGCTTTTGTTTGATGTTCTGTTTTTTCTGTTCTTCCCAGGACTGAATGTTAATGGTTAAATACTGTGGTCTTTGTGCCAGGTGCTTGTAACTGATGAAAAACAATAACAAGATTTTTTTCTTTGCTGTCTGTGAGGAATGTGTTTTTGCTGCAAGTGCATAAAAACATCACCCTGGACTTGTTGTTGTTCTACTCCGTCCACCCAGTGGTTCCTTTGACTTTCAATACCAAAGACCAACTGACAGGAGAACGATCTTTGTGTCTGTGGTTTTTAACCTCAGGCCTTTTATAATATTATTTATGAAATATATTATTATCGTCGGTGGAATTTGACTTTTAATAATAATCTGATTTTTGTATCTTATCTATCTTAACTCTGTGTCTTTGTCTACCTCATACCAAACATTTCAGATAATATTTCCTCATTTCTATGTTTCCCAGTCATGGCTGCAGCAGTACGGATACTTACCCCCAGGTGACCTCAGGACTCATGCCCTCCGTTCTCCTCAATCCATCACTTCAGCCGTCGCTGCCATGCAGAGGTTCTACGGCCTCACCATCACCGGCACCTTCGATGACAACACTGTGGAGTGAGAACCGTCTTTGTTTACCAACATCATGACATCACTGACTTGTTTTTTTTACCACCTACCATGAAACTCTTTATTCCAACAGGGCCATGAAGAGACCGCGCTGCGGGGTACCTGATAAGTTTGGTGCCGAGTTGAAGACCAACCTGAGGAGGAAGCGGTACGCCATCCAGGGTCTGAAGTGGAACAAGAAAGAAATTACTTTCTCGTAAGTGAACAGTGGTTCAGGTCAGCGGATTCACCTCCAGAGTAGGATTAGATTTTTGGCCACAGTTATTGAGGAGCAAACGTCAATCAGTAAAGTGTGGATTTGGATTTCTGGGATTGTGGAAGTAATTTAGACACCGATTACTTTATTGATTGGATTAAGGCAGACTACTCACCTCTGAGGCCTCTCTCTGTAAAGGACACAGATTAGGTTTCATGGTTTTTCACTGCTTTTTCCTACGCTGATGCTGTTGCCCCATTTCACCTTTTCCCTTATTTTACCTCCCCCCAGCATACAGAACTACACCCCCAAGGTGGGCGAGTACGAAACCCACAATGCCATCAGGAAGGCCTTCAAGGTGTGGGAGAGCGTCACCCCGCTACGTTTCCAGGAAATTCCCTACAGCTACATACGGGACAAAGTGGAGGAGTTTGCCGACATCATGATCTACTTCGCGGAGGGATTCCATGGTGACAGCAGCCCCTTCGATGGGGAGGGGGGATTCCTGGCTCACGCCTATTTCCCTGGTAATGGAATTGGAGGAGACACACACTTTGACGCAGCTGAGCCATGGACAGTTGGAAACCAGGATTTGACAGGTGAGGCCACAATGCAGGGAGGGACAATAACTACTTCAACAAACATAATAATCTTGAAATGTGCCCTTTTGGCTATTTTGATCCAATATACAATAAAACAACACTTAACCAGTCATCTGTAATTCCACATCACCTTTCCGGGCATTTAATAAATTCAGTGTTTTTCTCTCTGTATTTCATGAAAACTTAAATGTGCTGATTCAGAAAATTCAGGTTGTTTTCACTCAAACCCCTGCTTATTTCTGACTAAGCAACAACACTTTAAAAACAAGTTTTCTCTGCCTGACTCTGAAGTCAACTCTGGATCACTTCGTAAGGCAGACAGAAACAAGTCTGATCCTGTGTCTACGTTTTAAGGAGAGAAAACCCGGGGGTGGGGGGGTTAATACTCAGTGGAGTGGACATAGAGAAGTGATTCTTCTAAAGTTTTCTTAGAAAAACTGTTTTTGTCCAGAACTCCTTCATATGATCTGCAGATAAGTTTTATTTTTAAACAATTTGTTTGTCAGGCTGTTGTGTGACTTTGAGTCAGTAAAAAAAAAAAAAAAAAGAGGAAACCTGGGGTTTTAACTTCTCCTCAGAGTATCAGTCATCGTCTCACTGCCATGAGATAATGTCTCACACTTCACTCCTACTCATACCATTACCTTTTCCCTGCAGCAAATTTACCACATTGTCCAATTAGGAGCAGCTACAAACAGGAAAAATGTTCTGCATGATTTTAAGCTATGTTTTCATGGTGTTTTTATTTCAGGCAACGATATATTCCTCGTTGCCGTGCATGAGCTGGGCCATGCTCTGGGTTTGGAACACTCCAACGACCCCTCAGCCATCATGGCTCCTTTCTACCAGTGGATGGACACCGAAAACTTCCAACTGCCCGACGACGATCGCAGAGGCATACAGCAACTCTATGGTATGTTAGGATGAAAAAATGTGTGAAAAAATCGACTTCTAATTCTAATTCTACAGAATCTTAGAGCTAGATTGCAGATTTATGAGGTTCTTTTTAACACAGGCTCTGGATCGGGCCCCCAGCCTCCTCCTGTGACCCCACACACGCCTTACCACACCCCGCAGCCCACATACTCACCGGAAAAGCCACGCTTTGGCCCCAACATCTGTGACGGGCACTTTGATACAATTGCAATTCTCAGAGGAGAAATGTTTGTATTTAAGGTGAGCCAAGTAGACAGAAAAACGGGTGAATCTCAATTTTCCCCTTAAATCAAGCCCCACTGCCCTGGAGGTAGATTTTTACCCCAACTTTATGTAATTCAGCACGTAATGATGTCTTGATGTCACGTAATTCAAGGAACACAATTATTTGGTTCTAAAACTCCATTAGGATAAGTGGTTCTGGAGAGTGCGTAACAACCATGTGCTGGATGGATACCCCATGCCGATTGGCCACTTCTGGAGGGGACTGCCCACCCATGTTAACGCTGCTTTTGAAAGGGAAGATGGAAAATTTGCTTTCTTTAAAGGTACAGCACATTTAACTGTAGCTTTTTGGGAAAAAAGCCAAAAGACATTTTTTTAACTTTTGTTCCCCGTTTTTATTTGTTTTTCCAGGAGACAAGTACTGGGTATTTACTGAATCTAATCTGGAGTCTGGCTATCCCAGGACTCTGAAGGAAATGGGTACAGGTCTCCCCAGAGATCGGATAGATGCAGCCTTGTACTACACTCCTACTGGACAGACCTTCTTCTTCAGAGGCAACGAGTGAGTTTGTGTTCATCTTACTGTCACAATGACACTGTTTAGGGGTTTACAGTTGGAGTTTATAAAGTAGGTTAGCCAAGAAAATCTAGTGGCGTCACCTTCAACAAGCATGTTTCAAAGTTGACCATCGCAGGCTCAAACATATGAAGTCAATCTCTTGCTCTGAATTACCATCCAGCTTCTCGTATAAACATGAAAACAAACCTCAAGGGAACATTAAAGAGTTCTCCATGTATTTAAACCATAACTGCTCTTACATAAAAGGTGCATAATACGTGGCAGCCAGTGATTATCATAGCGCCACCTTCATAAACAAACTGTAGGACACTTTGTTTAAAAAAAGAGATTGCACACTAAGGCCCCTTGGTTTTAGTTTCTCTTCAGGAGCGTTGGAAGAGTTTACACCACTATTCCCACATTTCTACAGAGTAGTTTTATGGTCGGTCAAGTGTTTAAGTCACAGAGGTAGAGCAGGAACACACACGGTGATTCAGAGCGGGGTTTTCCTGGTAACGGGCCAGTCCAGCATGGAGTCACAGGAGAAAAGTCATATTCAGATTTACAGACAGAAAACTGAAAACTCATCTGAAGTCTTTAAAGGTGGGTCCTGGTCATTTTTCACCCCAATGTATGATTTTTATATCATTTGTATTTAGTAGAATGTACAATGTATTGAAAAATAACAAAGAATAGGTAAATATTTCAAGTTTAAATCCTTAAATTCTCATGACAGTGGCAGAAATTACGCTATAGATAAGAATGATTGACTTTTGCAAATAACCAGGCTAATGCTACGTTAGCTAGGCTACTGTAGCACACAAAACTGTTACTCGTTTTTATTTTGTATTATATATATGTATATATATATACATATATATATATATATATATAATAACACTGTTAAACACAAAAAGACAAAGTGCTTTTTACTTACTATAACTTCCGATTATTTGTAGACAAAATCCATCCTTCTCTCTTTCCTGAAGATAAGTTCAATTACTCAGTTGTTGAAGATAGGTACTGTACCTTACAATTTTCGATGCATATCCATGCTAATGTGCTAACGCTAAATGTCCTGTCGGTTCTGTCGTATTTACGGCAGAAGTTTTAATTCGGTTAGGGTTAGTTTATTCTTTAGTTTATTCTTTCGCTGACAATGTCCGCTCGACAGAAGCAGCGGACGCAGAGAAAACTTGATTTCAGATACTGTTTGCTAGATCCGAGACTGTGTTTTCTTTAACCATCCAATCAAATCACTCCAACGTAACTGTACACCTGCTAGAAGTCAACTCAAGGCTTTCTGGCAGATTTCATTCCCCGTGGCAACAGATGATGTCTGAAATTTGATTGGATACTATTTAGCAAAATTTTAGAACTATGATAAATTAATTGAAAAAAATATAAAAAGATATACTAAACATGTATAAATTCACATTTATATATTTATACACAATTTTTTATTTTTCATTTTTTTATTTTGAAGTTTCTAAGGGAAGTGCAGTTTCTGGTGTATTCTGGTGACTGATCCAAAAAATGTAATGTTGCATCAGGATCAAAGTAGTTTACTGTCAACTCACAATTACCTGTTTGTTTTTTTCTTAGCTACTACCGCTTTAATGAAGAGTCCCAAAGTGTGGATGAGGGCTATCCAAGATCAACCAATGTGTGGCAGGGAGTTCCTGACAACATCAAGGCAGCTTTCATGAGCAAGGACCAAGGTGAGGCTGACGTTCTGGACTATTTTTTTAAAGGTCCTTACATGAATTGACTTTTCTTTGGTTATGTTTCTCATTTTTCTCTCTTTCTTTCTCCCTTGGTCTCAGCCTACACTTACTTCTATAAGTCCAACAAGTACTGGAAGTTCAACAACCAGATGATGCGCGTGGAGCCTGGATACCCCAAATCTGCCCTGCGAGACTGGCTGGGATGCCCCAATGAAGACCCCAAGACGGACGGAGGAAGAGGTGGCGGCGGACACGACAAGGACAAGGAGAGGGAGAAGGAGAAGGAGAAGGAACGGGAGGACAAGGACAGAAATAGAGACAGAGAGAGGGAGAAGGAGACAGAGAAGACAGAGAGGACAGAGAAGACAGAGGAGGAGACAGAGGTGATCATTATTGAAGTAGATGAGGAAGGAGGGGTGAGCGGAGGAGTCGGGGCAGCGGCCGTAGTGGTGCCCCTCTTCCTGTTAGTGTGTGTGATCGCAACGCTGGCAGCCTTGCTGTTTTTCCGTCGGTATGGTACCCCACGCCGACTCCTGTACTGTCAACGGTCTCTACTGGACAAGGTGTAGGAGGGGAAGGAGGGAAAGGGGAGAGAGGGAGAGGGGAGTGAAAAAACGAGGAGCGAGGGAGAAAAAGTGGAAGGAAATGTTTTAACAGAGCAGGAGAGAAAGAGGTCGAACAAGCGGAGGAGCAGAAGGAAAAGCACTAGAGTTGCCTTTAAGAATATTTTTTACCACTGCCAGATTCCTTTTTGCTCTGTCATTTCTCTCTCAACCACTCCATCCTTCCATTTTTTACATTTCTTTTCTCTCCCTTCTCTCTCTCTGCTAACTGACGCCAGCTCTTTGCTGTTTGTTTTGGCCTTTTTTTCCCCAATGTCTTACTTTTAGTTTTTGTGTCACTGCTCACCCTTCGTCTGTCTCCGTTTGTGAAACTCCTGCTTTTGAACCTGCAACCTCATGGCGCCCATTCTAGCATGTTTTTTTATTTTGTGTTAGCAAACAGCGTGTTTGATTTGTTTGTCGTCCAACCTCTTAAACTTGCACACAATTACATAATAAGACACACACACACACACACACAGAGGCTGCTGGGAACCACAGTTTCTTCGTCATTGTGTTTGTTAATTTTCCAGTAAAGTAGCGTGTCAGAGCCAGTATGGACCATAAAAGGAGAGCAAACCTGTAGAGTTCCACTCATAGACTCAGGACAGGAAATGGACGTGGCTGTTTGTGTCTAAAAGTGGTCAACTACAGCAGAAGTGCTCAGCTGGCCACACTGAAATGATGGAGATTTTGTTCACTACTCCTCTTTAGAGTAAACTAAACAACAATGTATGACAATCTATGAAGCATGCTTAAGTTAAAACGTGTAAGAATTTATGTCGTAATAGAGTTGAAAACCTGACTATTTACGGGGGTGTACACAACTCCCTTTAATTCCAAGAACATTCAGACCTTCAGACATGCTTTATCTTATTTTTGTGATAAAAGGGATTGTACTTTTTGAAATTCAATAGTTTTTTTACTATACAAGAGTTCTTCTCTGATCAGGTGAATGTGTTAATTGATTTTATAAACTAAATGACAAGTAGCTTCTCCATCTAGTCTGTACAGGGTCACTTACTGACAGCCACATCCATTTCCCATGTCTGGTCTATGGACATGAGTTACATTCACATCAGAGAAAAGCAACAAACACATCTGTCCTGTCTTTTTCTATACCAACATGGAGTGCTGATTATTAGTACAAATGATGTTGTCATTATTATTATGACTATTACTATTATTGTTGTTGTCTTCCATGTGAAGAATGTGTTTTTGTACATTGTCATTAAAAAGTCCTGCTGGACAGTGACATACAGTTTTTAAGAGTGGCCTTAATTTTATATATGTGAGGGACAGTGAATGGGGGAGGGGTATCTGTATTCTTGAAACTTGATTGTTATTTTTTCTTTTTTAAAAAAAAAATCTAACAAAAAACCTTGAATTCATCTCAAATGAAATAAATTGACGATCTAAAAATGACTCCTTTTTGTCATTGTTCTTGTTTACACTTTCTTTTTTGTTTTTTCTGAACATGGTGCTACGGTACTGATCAGGGTTTTACCTACTTTAACAACAATGATAATGATACTAGTGGTGATGATGATAATATTGATAACGACCTAGTTTTTTCAATGAGTCTGTGTGTGCTCTCACTTTTAGTTTTAAGCTTTTCGTACAAAAATAAAATAATTTCAAAAGTCTACCTGTGCTTTGAAATTCATTTCATCAACCACAAGATCTCAACTCATGTCAAACTGGTGTTGCTTCCTGTGCTGTTTGGTGAACTTCCTGTCTGATACTTTCACCTACATCATCATCATAAGGGTCAACACACCAGCACAAACTGGTTAAAGTTAGCCAACATTACCTCTTAAAAACAACACTTAAAGCTATGTCGAAGTTGTTACAGCTTCAGGACCAAAGTCCTGTCACTAAATTATTTAAATTTCTGCAGATTGTAGATCACACATCCACATTAGTCCCAAGGTTTCTGAATTATCTGTATTTTTGAACACACAAAATTGGTAACCAGGGTTATTTAGCCCTAGCTTTGTGGAAAAACAAGTGCTAACACACTGCTAGTTTGCTAAAAGCAAGAAACCATACATGCTAAATAATAGTGTTCGAATAACAGACTTTGTCTTTAATGATGTCCATATCTCAAATCCGGTAATAAAATTTGGACCTCGACCAAATTCATAGGATGTGTAGGAAGATCTGGGGTCTGGAGTCTGGGTTTTAGATCTAGACTCGTGGTCCCCATCTGTTCTGACCCAACCTGCCATTCAAGAAGACTTCAGTGCAGACCTATTTTGTGGATCGGTTCCAAAGTCTCCAAGGAATCAAGTGGCTATCTGGGTCTGCTCTTTGGTTCTGGTTCCAGATGGTTAATCACTGAAAGTATTTTCCTTCAGATTTGCAGTTCTGAAAGACCAAGAGTTTGGACCAAATCTTGCAGAGACTTTTCAGGAATGATGTGTCATTGAACAGGAGTCGTTTCTTTTGTCTGAGAGCAGTGACGTCTCCCATTGGTCCAGACCGGAATATCTCTGTCAGGAACTTTATCTTTACTTTTTCATACCTATCACATCACTCCTCCGTGTACGATCCTTCCAGTCCTTCCTGGATCTCCAGAATTCTTGCTCCCCGACCGCACCACTCCGCGTTACTGGGGATTGGAAACTGGCAGGCCAGAAACTGGGTCGGAAAACACGGAGCGGATCCAAAAGTTAAGTAGAAACAGGGATGAGGATGATTGAGTAAAGCCGTGGCTGCACAGCAGGAAAACGTATTCTAACCATATAATAAAAGAGAGAGGGAGTCTGTGTGTGTGTGTGTTTACATACTACACCTCATACAGACAACAGATGGACGAGGAAACTCAGGCAGGTGAAGGTTTAGAACCACAGTGTTTGGTTCTGGTGAAGATTTGAAGACACCACATGAAGTGAAGTTAAAGATTCTCAAAATTAAACAAAAGAAATCCATCTTTTCATTAATTATACAATGTGCACAAGTTGACATTCATGCATATTTGTCTTAAATTAAGCAAAAACATCAGTGAATCTTTAACAAACCTGGTCTGATGTTAGTCATATGTGTGTTAGCTTTTAATTGACACTTGTTTTTAGCTACTTTAGCTACAAATGTATTAATTCAGGGTGAGCCAACAAAAGCTGAAGGCGTCTCCTTCCTCCCTAATTATCCCACTAACAAAGAGCCGCTGCTGTGACGAGGCAGTAGAGGGCAGAGCGGGGGGCCGTGGGGTGGGTGGAGGGGTTGCAGTGGTCAGCTGCTCTATGTTGTGTTATAATCACTGCAACGAGTCTACGGGCAATTACAGTGATGAGGTATTTTCCTATTCATTAAAGTAGAGATAAAATATACAAAGGGAGGGGGGAGTGGTGTGGTTAACATGTTAGTGTGGCTAACATTTAGCCTTAAGGTCGATGCAGTTTGCAGTGTCTGTCATGGGGACTAGCTGGTAACTGGTATACTACTTTCTTTTCTTTTTTCTCTGACCTTGAGCTACTATTAAGCAACACTATAACTGTGTTTAAGGTTATAAACCCAAGCTATTTGGTTAACTTTTAGCAACTTAGTGCTAACCTTTGTTTCCTGGAACTAACCTACATCAAATGATCATTTGTTAAACTAAGGGGCTCATCTATTTTGGATCATTCCTAGATGTTATGGCGGATGTTTAAATAGTTCTGAGTCAACTTTTGTCAAACATTTGGCCAGACGCAACAGTTATCTTTTGAACTCTTCGACTCCGACTCCTCCAAACCTTGTAAACACGTCATTGAACTTTCATGGACTTCAAGCACTTTTAAAACCCTGCACACACAACCCCGTCGTGTGGCTGTGGGTCACAATCTGATGTTTTCTCTCTTCCTCAGCTGATTCCGCAGAGTGAAAAAATAAAAAAGAATGGCCTCAGCACAATTCCTCCCCACAACCCTCGCTGCTCCGTCTGTAACCGGAGCGCGTTTTCTTCACTGTCGGCAAAACGACTTGTTTTTCTTTTTTATGAAGTCCAAAGACAAAAGACAGCACTGACATGTTTTCATCCCACTCACTCTCACATTTCACCCAGATTAACAGAGAGCTCCGCTCTGGCTCGTCGTCGTTATCACAAAGGCGGGATTCTTTCGTCCGTTCTTTCATCCCATCCCTGGAATGGCATCTGTCTGAGTTAGAAAAGTAATAAAAGTCTCATTAACAAGCTGCTGTGATGTGTATGTGTGTGTGTGTGTGTTTTCCACTTCCTGTGCCCTGCAGCTGGCATGTTCAAAAGCCCACAGCCTGATGAACAGAAACTTCCCCTCAGGGGAAGTCCTGTTCTTGGCCATTGTGTCTCCTGATGACCAAACTGAACATCACTCTGTAGCTGCAGGACCGACGTCAGCAAAGAAGACTGAGACACTTTTTTTCCAAATAAATAGCCATTACTGTTGCACTCTGCCCGGTAACAAGCCTGCAGGATCAGCTGCGTCCGTCACACGTGCTCTTTATTTTCATCCGTCAGATGAAGAACATCCTGCGCTGGGCACAAACACGACACAAATGCTAAGAGATGATTCCATCTTTTTTATCTGTGCCACAAACACGACCACACGTTCATGTCTTCAGCTGCTGTGGTTTTCAACCTCCTCCCTCACGGACGGGAGGTGATGTCATCGGCCTTTGTTTGTGACTGAAATGTTTCCACCCTGTGGCCGTTCTTCGTGCCCTGACATCAGTGCTTCGTACAAATGAACACGTTTGCTGCCAAGATGTACTGATTTACAACCCTAAGCACCAAGAAACTGAGGTTTCTTCATTTCCCATCATACCTTGGGGCTCCTCCGTCGCCAGAAGCAGCACATTAGACATTTCAGCAGCTTTATTGTTCTAAATATGAGGGAGAGCGAAAGTAGCAGGGAACGTCAGCGGTAAAATAAACCATCAATCTTTCAAAGTCAGTTTAAATAGAAAATGCCCCATGTGTGTGTGAGAGCAACCAGCAGGAGAAAGAGAAGAAGGAGGTGGAGGTGGAGGAGGAAGAGGAGGAGGAGAAGATGACATTAAACAATGGGCTGCACTTCATGGTTCTCAAAGAGAGGGGAAGTTTTTTCTTATTTGCTCAACACACCACTGCTCTACGAGGGCTGGGATTCGGACCAGTGACCGTCCCCAACACGTCCAATCCTTCAGCCTCTGGGCACGGTGCTGCCCCCAGAGGATCTTTTTGTCAGCATCTCTGGAGGACTGCAGCTGCAGTCCCAGCAGGGATCAGATGGGGGCGGGGTTTCTCTCAGGACAGATAGGATTTTTTCAGATGTTTTTGATAAAACTAGTCTCACACTCAGGCTCGATGCAAAACAAATAAAACATCGTCCCTAAACTTCAGCCCTAAAATGTGGGAACAGGGGGAAAATCCTGAGGATGAGGCAGGTTTACTGTGAGTGCTCAGCAGGACGAACACTTGTCCACAGATTCTACTTCTGGTTTAATGAGCTAGAAAATGAGGCAGACTGAGGCTTCACTTCTAGAGCTGCTGCCAGGGATCAATACCTAAAACTTTTTTCCCCGTTATTTCTGCATCTTGTTATTCCATTAAGTTTCACATGGAAAATAATCCCTCCTCCCCCCGTTGGCCAACAGATTCTGCCTGAAATATCCCGGTCTGACTCGTCTCTGCTCCATCGTGTTTGGTTTGTGATATTTGTTTTCTTTCCATGCAGTTTTTTGGGTTTTTTTCTGCGTGTCTCTGCCGCCCACTGCTGAATCTGCTCAAACCTTTACCTTAGAGCTTCACTCCTAATTCTGTTTGTGTTTGAACAGGGGAGGGTGTGGTGGTGGTGGGAGGGGGCAGAGGGGGGGAGGTGTTTTTGTGTAGACGAAAAAGAGAGTACAGGTGCAAGGAAGTTGAGCAATCTACAATTCAGCCTCCTTTGGTCGGACTATTTTTTTACCTCCACCACAAATCCTCTGAAGTCTCACAGGCTCTGCAGGAAAACACTTCCAAGATAGGAGCGAGATGCTGATTCAGGGTTCACCACAGCAGCTACCCTCACTCTGACCCAGATACGTCCGCAAGGAAACCCCCTCCTTCCTCGCCCTGCCCCAGGCCTAGACCGGATGGTGGGCAGTGGTCTGTACAGAAGGCCCGTTAAAAAACAAGTTCAAACTTGAAATAAAATTCACAGTGAACTCAGTGAGAGAATTGTTTTCTAAATTGTTATGGTACCACCCAAAGGTATTAAGATATCCTCAGTTCAGGCTGAAGTATCGTCGTCAATAGAAACCAAACATCAAACATCACGTCACGCCTTCAGATCTTGGACCTTAGGTCTTTAATCCAGTCCTTGTGTAACTCCACACACAGAATGATGCGAACCTTTCAGGCAGATGTGGAACAGCAGTGGAGAATCACTAAATACTTTCAAAAAGAGGTGCAGAGTAAATGAGTTCATGTGCCTGAAACAGTACCACACACCAGCTGCTCCACACACTCCTCAGAAACTTTCTTTTTCTTCTTTCATTTTCTTTTCTTGACTGTACAACAGGCCGTGATATTCACAGATTTTTTCCCCTCAGATTTGGGAACGTCGCTGGTTTATTCTCGTCATTCTCACTAATGTTGAAAGACTTTGGTTGGACTAGTACTGAGGCAGAAGACGGTCGTCTCCTTCTATTGGCTGTTAGCTTTGGG